CTTGAGAGGCCCAGCCAGAGCCCGGACTTGAACCCGATCGAACATCTCTGGAGAGACCTGAAAATAGCTGTGCAGCGACACTCCCCATCAAACCTGACAGAGCTTGAGAGGATCTATAGAGAAGAATGGGAGAAACTCTGGCCAAGCTTGTAGCATCATACCCAAGAAGTCTCGAGGCTGTAATCGCTGCCAATGGTGCTTCAACAAAGTACTGAGTAAAGGGTCTGAATACTTATGTAAATGTAATATTTCAGTTTTTTATTTTGAATACATTTGCAAACATTTCTAAAAACCTGTTTTTGGATTTTCATTATGGGGTATTGTTTGTTGATTGATGAGGGGAAAAAAACAATTTAATACATTTCAGAATAAGGCTGGAACGTAACAAAATGTGGAAAAAGTCAAGGGGTCTGAATACTTTCCGAATGCACTGTACATAAGGCCCCAGGTCTAAAACCAGACTGGTAGACATTTACAATAGAATGAGTTAAAGTTAAAAGCTGAGAGTTGGCCAGGGATTCTGAAAGTTTGGAAAGGCAAGATAGCAAATAGGAAATTGGACGGTAGTTACCCTTAAACCCTGCCCCAGTGCTTACTCACTGAAGCGTCTGTCTCAGACTCTCCATGGACTGGTGCTCCCAGGGGGGCGATGCAGAGCCTGCTACCCCAGCTCAGTGCACTGTTCTCTGCCTTGCTGCCTCCTGAAGACCCCCTCATCGGTCTGGAGGGGGGGAGATAAGGACTGGCTTTGCTTCTCTGTGTCTGAAGTCACACTTCCTACCAACCATACATGCGGTGTATACAGGTCATTGTCTGAATCTCAAAATGGCACCCTATTCCCATGGCGCTCTGGTCAAAAGTAGTGCCCTATATAGATGATAGGGTGCCATTTGGGATGTAGCCACTCTCTTGCAGATGACGCGTCCATCTAGTCCCTTACATAAAGCTTGGAAGAAAACTCTCCAGTCAAACTATCTAGCAATCAGTTAACATGTACGAGCTACTGGTGTGTTGTGGGAACTCACTGAGACAGACATCACACAGCCATCTGCTCACCTACACAACTATGAATACAGAAGCTTTTCCTGGAATTGGCAGAAAACTCAAAGCACCAACACTATTTTTTTTTCATACAACTTACAAGTTATAAGAAATAAATAGAGTCATATATATACAGTACCAGTCAAAAGTTTGGACACACCTACTCATTCAAGGGTTTTTCTTTATTTTTTACTATTTTCTACATTGTAGAATAATAGTGAAGACATCAACACTATGAAATAACACATATGGAATCATGTAGTAACCAAAAAAGTGTTAAACAAAGCAAAATATATTTTATATTTGAGATTCTTCAAAGTAGCCACCCTTTGCCTTGATGACAGCTTTGCAAACAGACACATCTCAACATCAACTGTTCAGAGGAGACTGCGTGAATCAGGCCTTCATGGTCGAATTGCTGCAAAGAAACCACTACTAAAGGACACCAATAAGAAGAAGAGACTTAAGGGGTATTGTGTGTAGATTGATGAGAAAAAAATACATGTTTAATCCATTTTAGAATAAGGCTGTAATGTAACAAAATGTGGAAAAAGTCAAGGGGTCTGAATACTTTCTGAATGCACTGTGTATATAAACTGCCAGTAATTATTGGATAAAACCCCAACGTTTGGGCATCACTGTGCCTTCTTCAGGGTGATATCATGAACGCTTGGAACCAGGTTATGTAAACAAACAGTGCAATTAGTGTAACCAATGACAATAGTGAGGGAGGGGTGTGTCATAATGGTTGATTAGAATGAATTGAGTGAAACTGTTAAAAGACTATAGTTTACAGCATATTGAATATATCAGGCTGCTGTTATCATATGGAAACATAATTAGATACTGTACATAATATTAGCATCAACCTACATTATTGTTTAATTTAATTTCACATATATATTTGTTTCCAATTTCATAGATTTTTCTTACACGTAATCTTTTGGTTCAACCCTAATGCATAATTAGCATCAGCAGCAGGGGGAACATATTGGGTGTACGCTGATAAGCTATAGAAATAATATATTCATTTATAAGACTTGTTCATAAAAAATAATTATTCATAAGAAGGGCCTGAGATCAAAGTCAATATTCAGACCACTAGGGGTCAATATTCAGACCACTAGGGGTCAATGTTCAGACCACTAGGGGTCAATGTTCAGACCACTAGGGGTCAATATTCAGACCACTAGGGGTCAATATTCAGACCACTAGAGGTCAATGTTCAGACCACTAGGGGTCAATGTTCAGACCACTAGGGGTCAATATTCAGACCACTAGGGGTCAACATTCAGACCACTAGGGGTCAATATACAGACCACTAGGGGTCAATATACAGACCACTAGGGGTCAATATTCAGACCACTAGGGGTCAATATACAGACCACTAGGGGTCAATATTCAGACCACTAGGGGTCAATATTCAGACCACTAGGGGTCAATGTTCAGACCACTAGGGGTCAGTGTTTTTAGACAGGAGATCCAGTAGGCCTCCCTCTGTAGTAGTAGGATCTCCATGTTACCTCCTCTCCTTGGTAGAGCAACATGCTCAATGCCTGTGCATTTGAGGGAGGAGATGGGACGGTTAGCTTCAACAAAGTGGGCTGCTACTGGGTAGTCATTGTTCTTACACCTGATTGAGCTGCGGTGTTCAGCTATGCGTTGTTTCATACGACTTACAACAACTGTAAGTCTTAGTTGATACTGGCACTTGCTATGACCCATCTGGTCTCAAGATGTGTGAAACTCTATTTCTCATTTGTAAAGTGCTATTTTTCCCTCACAATTTGTAGGTTTTCTAAGATGTGCAACCAATTCACCAGCACATACATCCATAACTCACAGGTAGTTTGTTACAAAACCTCGATAATACCTACAGCTCTCATTTCAAAGAAGAACTTAACCCAGGAAAAAAAATGAAGTATTTATCCAAGTCTATGCTAGAAAAGTTTTTGATATCTGATCGCAGTTTACTCTTCAAGGCGAGGCCAACGGAGTCCTTGTATTTTGGTTTTAATCACATTTCTGGGTGACAGGAGGGCAGGCAGGCAGAGTTTTGGGCCTCAGGCCGTAGCCTAGAAAGTGCCATAGCAACGGAGGCATTTTCCTACGGGACAAGGATATGAAAATCATCACGCTGGTTTTTGTTACAAAAACGCTATGAACACTGAACAGACTAGCGATCCGGTTTCATTCAGATACTGAATCCCAGACACTGCGTGTTCCCAAAATGGCACCCTATTCACTATATAGTACACTACCCTATTCCCTATATAGAGTCCTAGGCTCTGGTCAAGAGTAGTTCACTACATAGGGAGCCATTTGGGACACAGCCTCTGTTTCTAGGAACGTCTCCAAATCACTTGCACAGCAAGAGACCAGAGAGACATCAGCTGAGAGGGAACAGATTCATTGTTGCATCGGTAAATAACCTGAAAGTGTTCTTTTGTCTCATTGTTACGTCAAGCCTTTGAATGAGCGGCATTCATTGTATTGGAAAACAATAGGTACATAGTTGTTAATTTGTGTCAATGCAGAATAGGGAGAGAAAAAAATAAGGGACATAATGGTTCATTTGTTATATTTCTAGCCTCAGGATATTTGGAACTGTGAACAGACTGGCTTGCCAGTTGAGACATGGGGAGAATCTCAAAATCGCTTTTCCTTGATTCTTCGCATCCCATTGGATGAGAAGGTAAGAGTTCCCTCCCCTCTGACCATCTCAATGGGTGTTGAGAAGGAGGCGAGGAGAGAGGATGCGAGAAATCAAGGAAATGCAATTGAGATTCTCCCATAGATGGCTGTCAGGACTGGGAGAGACTCCTGAACAGAGGGGAGATAGATACTGATACTTCTATCACATTAAGCAATAAAAAAGAGGAGTCATGAAATTCAGGTTCTTTAAAAGATTTCAAACATAATTGGTTGTCAAAGACGGTATCAAATATATACAGTACAAACTGCTGGAATATACAAATCTGTACACAGGAAGATTCACATATGAACAGTCTTCCAGCATTGCTCTTTCTGATAATTCACTTGGAAGTTTTCAGCATGCACCATAATCAATGACTACATCAGCTCCTTTACAATCTTCCCCACAGAAGTAAGAATCATCAATGTTAAACACGGCAAGAAAATATTCAGTACGTTTTCGGAGGCGAGTAGGCTAACAGATGATATAAATGAGTACATGGAAGTAAGTCTGTCTGTATATGTTGACAAAGGCCTCGTGGTTGGCTTAGCATGGACCCTACATCATTTGAAATGTTGCTGTAAGGTTCTGTGTTTGGTAAAGCAACTTCTGGGAACCTCCAGTCCAGAGGACCAGACGTCTAAGGCAAGGTAATACAAGTACATAAAGGATGTCAACCCACACATTCTAGTTTGATTGACAATATGGTTTCAGAAACAAAGTACATTATTCAATATAAATCATGTATTTTTCAGTCTTACCAAAATCAGATGTCAGCAAGGCAGCAGCATATATATATACACTGAGTGGCCAAAACATTAGGAACACCTTAACATTGGGTTGCACCCCCTTTTGCCCTCAGAACAGCCTCAATTTGACGGGGCATGGACTCTACAAGGTGTCGAAAGCGTTCCACAGGGATGCTGGCCCATGTTGACTCCAATGCTTCCCACAGTTGTGTCAAGTTGCCTGGATGTCCTTTGGGTGGGGGACCATTCTTGATACACATGGGAAACTGTTGAAAAACCCAGCAGCGTTGCAGTTCTTGACACACTCAAACCAATGCGCCTGGCACCTACTACCATACCCAGTTCAAAGGCACTTAAATATTTTGTCTTGCCCATTCACCCTCTGAATGGCACATATACACAATCCATGTCTCAATTGTCTCAAGGCTTAAAAATCCTTCTGTAACCTGTCACCTCCCCTGATTGAAGTGGATTTAACAAGTGACATCAATAAGGGATCATAGATTTCACCTGGATTCACCTGGCCAGTCTACGTCATGGAAAGAGCAGGTGTTTTGTACACTATGTATAATCCATGTCATTGGGCAGCAGGGTAGATAATCATATTCAGTTGGCAGAGGAGAGTGGCCTTGCCTTGAGATAATACAGCCACTTCTTCATTAAGGGGTTATAATTTAATTACACCTAGGGCTCCTAATAGCTGAATACTACAGTGAGATGTAATAACCCCTGTTTATATAAAACTTTATCCATTCCTCAGGCCTTCCACCTCTATTTAAACCACGTCAACTCCTTAAGCGTTCATTTGACTATTCACACGATTCAGGAGCGACTAACACAAAGCAATGAGGAAAAAAAAAATCAAACCCAATACCTTGGAGTCAGGAGCAATAAGGAGCAATCTCCTAAAAACACGAATATCCACCTCTAGCAAGAAGAATGAGAATCATTACAAAAATTATTTGATTTGCAAAAACGTCCTTTGAATGAATACCTCCTGGGCTCGATTATAATGTCGCCCTGAGAAGCTGTTTCCCAGCTCTCCTCTGTCTGTGAGGTTGGAGAGAGGAAGCACACCTTTTTCACTCGGCCGTGAGCCCAATCTCCGCAACCAGAACCAAATCTCTCACTGCACGAGAGACTACTTGTTAGCCAGGCTGGCTACGATATGTAGGCTAATTTGTAAACGTCACGCGCCGCGTCCCGTAAGTGTCTGTTGCTGCCGCTGGGGCTGTAGTCAGAGACTAAGTCCTGCTGGTGGTCTGACGGTGTAGAAGGTTCTGGAGAGTCCCTGTCCATTCTCTCCATGTCCTCTGACTGGGATGATGACTCGGTCTTTGTGCTGTTGAATCCAAGGATCTCAACCACTGAGTCGGGCAAGTCCTACACAGACAATAAACATGATGAGATTAAAGATCCGGATAGAACCGTAGGTCAATAACAAGGTGTTGAAGAGTGTTAGATTTGATTGTACCGATATTCATAGCGGAGTTCAATAAGTGTTTCAGAATACAGGCGCAAACATTCTGAAGGTATCTAATGTTCTGCGATGGAGTCGGACACAAATCAGGATATCATCAGAAGAAAACTATTTAAAACGTATGTCACAGACACATTTTAATGAGGGTTAGTTTCAAATGCATTTACTCACACCCCCTGTGTATTTCTACCACTGAGTTGGGAAAATCCTATAAAGAGTTAACGAGGGTTGTGTTGAAAACCCCCTTTGAACCCAATACACACCCTTCTACTGGCAACTGTGCAAACCAATCCAAACCAATCCTATCTCAACTCCTTTCCCTTTCAGCACTCAGCAAACCCATGTATGTATTTCAGAATATACTGTAAGGACAAACGTTCTGAAGATACGACATCCATCTATGGATACATACCTTACAACTCTTCAGCTGTAGACATATAGCTTCAGCTTTCTTGAGGATGGCCCCGATGTCCAGTTTCATCGGCAGTTCATTTATGTGCTGGAAAGAAGGGAGGAGAACATTCTCAGATCAGTGACTTGCTAAAGCAGGGATGGGCAACTGACGGCCCGCGGGCCGCATGCGCGGATCAATTTGAAAAAAATAACATACAGTACCAGTCAAAAGTTCTAGAACACCTACTCATGCAAGGGCTTTTCTTTATTTTTTAAAACTATTTTCTACATTGTAGAATAAGGTAGTCCCCTGGAATGCATTTCAATTAACAGGTGTGCCTTCTTAAAAGTTAATTTGTGGAATTTCTTTAATTCTTAATGCATTTGAGCCAATCAGTTGTGTTGTGACAAGGTAGGGTTGGTATAGAGAAGATAGCCCTATTTGGTCAAAGACCAAGTCCATATTATGGCAAGAACAGCTCAAATAAGCAAAGAGAAATGACAGTCCATCGTTACTTTCAGACATGAAGGTCAGTAAATACGGAAAATTTCTTCAAGTGCAGTCGCAAAAACCATCAAGCGCTATGATGAAACTGGCTCTCATGAGGACCGCCACAGGAATGGAAGACCCAGAGTTACCTCTGTTGCAGAGGATAAGTTCATTAGACTTACCAGCCTCAGAAATTGCAGAGCAAATACATGCTTCACAGAGTTCAAGTAACAGACACATCTCAACATCAACTGTTCAGAGGAGACTGTGTGAATCAGGCCTTCATGGTAAAATTCCTGCAAAGAAACCACTACTAAAAGGACACCAATAAGAAGAAGACTTGCTTGGGCCAAGAAACACGAGCAATGGACATTAGACCGGTGGAAATTTGTCTGGAGTCCAAATTTGAGATTTTTGGTTCCAACCGCCGTGTCTTTGTGAGACGCGGTGTGGGTGAACGGATGATCTCCGCATGTGTATTTTTATCAATTAGTATATTTGACTTTAACAGTAATATTTGCCGTAATATTTGTTCTGTCTTTTCCGGTGGATTAAACTGAACTAGCAACAAACTTTCTATTGCTTGTTTTAGAAATAGTGATATTTTGGAGATTATTTCATTTTTAAATAACCGAAAGTGAGAGGTTGTAATCTGAATAAAGGGAAAAAGGCCATTCCTGAACATAATAATAATATGCCATTTAGCAGATGCTTTTATCCAAAGCGACTTACAGTCATGCGTGCATACATTTTTGTGTATGGGTGGTCCCGGGGATCGAACCCACTACCTTGGCGTTACAAGCGCCGTGCTCTACCAGCTGAGCTACAGAGGACCACGGGGTGAGCCATTCTCTCCTTAATCTGCTAGAGAACCAGTTGGGATTTGTATAGTTTTTGTATGACTGAAGCCTTTAGTGAGAGGTCTAATGCTTTCATATTTAATCATTTCTGCCCTCCCAATTCATATTCATTATATAAATAGGACTGTTTACTTTTGTCTGGCTTGCAATTCCAAATGAAATTGAATATTCTTTACTCAAATAATTTAACAAACAAGTTGTTAGGTGTAGGCAGGGCCATAAGCAAATAGGTAAACTGGGATGTTGTCCTTTCCATGGTAGCAAAATCGTATCTAATTTGGCTAACTTTCGATTAAAATGTATTGTAGTGGGATCATTTTTTTCCTTCGGGATGTGAATACCTAGTATGTCCACTTCACTGTCAGACCATTTTATTGGTACACGGTAATATAAAAGTATTTTTGTAGTGAGCCAATACGTATGGCACACTTATCATAATTAGATTGTAATCCAGAGAGGTTAGAAAAATTATCTAGATCCTCTTGAGGCTGTAGAGGGATCCAAATTGTGGATTTAAAAGAAAACATGAATCATCAGTGTACAATGACACCTTTGTTTTTAAGCCCTGGATTTATTATTGTTGGATCTGATTTTAATAGCTAACATTTCGATGGCCATAATAAATAGATATGCTGATAGTGGACAACCTTGTTTTACTCCTCTTGACAGTTTAAAACTTTCTGAGAAGTAGCCATTATTGACTATTTTACAGCCAGGGTTACTATACATAACTTTAACCCATTGTATAAGACTCTCCAAAATGTAAATACACCAGGCATTTATATATAAATTCCAGTCGTACTTTATCAAAAACCTTTTCAAAGTCAGCTGGTTTGATTGGTAAATGAGTCTAGAGGCCAGCCATCTTAACTTGAAGTAATGGTCGATTTACCAACCGGGGGCCCCCATTGACTTTTGTTAGTCACTCTCACTCAAATATATTAATAACTGCAAACATTTCTCTCCACCCCATGGCAAAATGTGTAGAATTGCAGCAAACTTGCTTTAAAAACTGCAACATTTTCTCTATGCCCCATGGAAAAATGTGTAACATTTCAGGAAATGAACTCGAAAACGTTCTCTCCACTTTCAAGAGGGGGGGGGGGCGCTCTGTTTAGGGCCCCCAAAAGGCTAGAGCTGGCTCTGACTGCATGAGTGGGTATGGATGTGGGTAAGCAGACCCATGAGTTCAGATTTTTTTTGTGGCCCCCCACCCCATCAAAGTTGCCCATCCCTGTGCTAAAGTGATGACAGGGATAACACTTCCAACACTGAATGCCATTTTCAGTTCACTCATTTAACACATAACAGACAGTGTATTCTGTGTGGATATAAGAGTGTGTTGTAATGAGACTAGGCAGTGAGAGCCTGTTGGTTGGAAGACCACATGCTCCTGCTAGGTGATAATTAACTGCTTCCTTCAGTCATGATAAAACACAGTGTGAAGCCTATTCTCTCTTCGTGTTCCTCTTTCCCCGCGCTCTTTCCCCTCACTCTCCATACTTTCTTTCTCTCTCTCCCTCCCTCACTAACCGTCCCCCCCCCCCCCCCTCGCTCTCCCCACTCACTTTCTCCCCCTCTTTCGCTCCCTTTCAATTCTAAGGGTTTTATTGGCATGGGAAACGTATGTTAACATTGCCAAAGCAAGTGATAGATAATAAACAAAAGTGAAATAAACAATAAATGAACAGTAAACATTACACTCACAAAAGTTCAAAAATAATAAAACCATTTAAAATGTAATATTATGTCTATATACAGTGTTTTTAACGATATGCGAATAGTTAAAGTACAAAAGGGAAAATAAAGATAAATATGGGTTGTATTTCCAACGGTGTCTGTCCTTTCTCTCTCTCTCTCACCAGGTGTTGTAGCTACTGTACAGATAGATAGAGCCTGCAAGGTCTCCATGGTTACCGTCTACTAGCTGTCGACCAACTGCAGAGAGAGCAGCTGTGATCACATCAGGAAGTAACCTCAGGTAGAATGTTGAATGATTTAATGGTTCTATGCGTTCTTATAGGCTATCCTGTACACTACCGGTCAAAAGTTCTAGAACACCTACTCATTCAAGGGGTTTTCTTTATTTTTTTTACTATTTTCTACATTGTAGAATAATAGTGAAGACATCAAAACTATGAAATAACACATATGGAATAATGTAGTAACCAAAGAAGTGTTAAACAAATCTAAATATATTTTATATTTGAGATTCTTCAAATAGCCACCCTTTGCCTTGATGACAGCTTTGCACACTCTTGGCATTCTCTCAACCAGCTTCACCTGGAATGCTTTTCCAACAGTCTTGAAGGAGTTCCCACATATGCTGAGCACTTGTTGGCTGCTTTTCCTTCACTCTGCGATCCGACTCATCCCAAACCATCTCAATTTGGTTGAGGTTGGGGGATTGTGGAGGCCAGGTCATCTGATGCAGCACTCCATCACTCTCCTTCTTGGTAAAATAGCCCTTACACAGCCTGGAGGTGTGTTGGGTCATTGTCCTGTTGAAAAACACCTCCTCCTCCATGCTTTACGGTGGGAACTACACAAGCGGAGATCATCCATTCACCCACATCGCATCTCACAAAGACACAGCGGTTGGAACCAAAAATCTCCAATTTGGACTCCAGACCAAAGGACACATTTCCACCGGTCTAATGTCCATTGCTCATGTTTCATGATCGAATTGCTGCAAAGAAAACCACTACTAAAGGACACCAATAATAAGAAGAGACTTGCTTGGGCCAAGAAACATTTAGAATATTTAGAATTCATGTCACACTTAACCAGCATGGCTACCACAGCATTCTGCAGCGATATGCCATCCCATCTGGTGTGGGCTTAGTGGGACCATCATTGTTTTTCAACAGGACAATGACTCAACACACCTCCAGGCTGTGTCAGATGACCTGGCCTCCACAATCCCCCGACCTCAACCCAATTGAGATGGTTTGGGATGAGTCGGATCGCAGAGTGAAGGAAAAGCAGCCAACAAGTGCTCAGCATATGTGGGAACTCCTTCAAGACTGTTGGAAAAGCATTCCAGGTGAAGCTGGTTGAGAGAATGCCAAGAGTGTGCAAAGCTGTCATCAAGGCAAAGGGTGGCTACTTTGAAGAATCTCAAATATATTTTGATTCGTTTAACACTTTTTTGGTTACTAGATGACTCCATATGTGTTACTTCATAGTTTTGATGTCTTCACTATTATTCTACAATGTAGAAAATAGTAAAAAAATCAAGAAAAACCTTTGAATGAGTAGGTGTAGTAAAACTTTGGACCGGTAGTGTATATCACTCAGCCAAGGTAACTCCAGATTACATCAGCCTATATTTCTAGAGAGATTCCCAGACTTAAGTCATTATTAATTTTCACTACACAAAAATTCTAAACATTTTAACTAGTTGTATGGTTTTCACTTGCCATCATCAGTACATTGAGATGGAGGAGGATGTTAAATTCTGTCGGGCCTACATTTGGATGGAAGAGACTTTTAACAGGGAGTGGTTGAGCACCACTAAAAAGACAGAGGGGGTCAGACATCAGTGTGTCATAGGGAATAGAGGGGGTCAGACATCAGTGTGTCATAGGGAATAGAGGGGGTCAGACATCAGTGTGTCATAGGGAATAGAGGCGGTGCGATCACCACTCATCTGATAGGAGCTAAAAGGACCCTTTTATTTTAGGAGGTAATATCTAGTGTAATGTTTCCCCGAACGACCTTGCACACACACACACACACACACACACACACACACACACACACACACACACACACACACACACACACACACACACACACACACACACACACGCACCTTGAGGATCTCATTGAAGCCGTATTGTTCCTCCATGATCTTGTGCTTCTCTGAGTCCAGGATGGCACAGCACACCAGCAGGTGGAAGTTCTGGCACGGCAGTCCAGTCCACATGACCTGAAGCCAACCCAGAGACAATCAGAGTCAGTGTGTGTGTGTGTGTGTGTCTGTGTGTGTGTGTGTGTTATACAATATCTGCATCATTATTTCTCATATACCAAACAAATTGTTGTGATTCTGTGAAACATCATTAAATGAATCTTAAATTGGCTTGTGTTTCCTCACGATGCCTCTGGACCAATGGAGAGATGATTAAATTAAAACTAAACTACGGGCCATTTAAATCAGGTTACTGATTCATCTCTGGGGAGTTTGAAGGAGGAGGAGAGCCTGAGGAGCAGCAGGACCAGAGAGCCCACTGATTGGTCAAGTGCTCCCTGTACCGACTGATTGGTCTCTGATTTATTGGCTGAATTGACTGTGTGGGCTGACCGATTCACTAGAGGAACAGCCGATTGATTAACAGTCAACGCCTTGAACGTGGTGAAGGTGTGTGACTCACTTCCCATAGACGCAGGACGTCAGGGTAACTCAGTTCTCTCTTGAAGCGAATCAGGAGCCAGCGGAAGCAGAAATACAGGTGACCGGAGTCCTGGGCCCCTGTAGGATGGACGCACACGCACACACACGCACACACACACACACACACACACACACACACACACACACACGTTAGCAGAGGTACATCATAAGAAGGTTAGAATGAAGGGAACCCAACATCTCGGGTATTGTCTTCAGACACCATGAGCTGAAAAGCCATTGTCTTAGACCCAACCATCACTGAGAGGGTTAAATCCACTCCCAAGTTGTCAGAGTTGTGAGTATGTCTGATCAAGGAGATGAAGGAAGGTCAATAGTGAGGAGGTGAAAGAGGGTTGAGGAGGTGGTGGAAGCTCGTAAATTAAGTCAACCAATCATAGAGACAGGACCTTAAGCCTCTTTTTCCTTCCCACCCCTCCATCTCTTCTTCACCCCCCCAAAAAAAAGACAATCATCGTCGTCCTCCTCATCCTCCTCTTCCCTGCTCAAATTAAAGCGATAAATAACAACAACTCATTTACATATTATTGAATTTACTTGGTTTATTGTTCTTGGAAGCTCTCTAAATTCCAAAGGAGCGGTTGTTGTTATCCCGGGAGGTAACGAACAGCAGAGCAGTTTTAGTAGGCTGGCTGAGCGAGCCCAAATTAATCAAGAAAATGAATGATTATAAAGTATGCGGTGATAAATCAACATCGTGCCAATCAGATCGCACCGTGGCGCTAGCCGTATTTAAACAGCCTAATTCACCACAACTTATCAGGGACTGTTTAGGGATGCAGCTGACCCCTACAACCTCTAGCAAATAGGAAAGACTCTCCGAACGGAACACACATATTTATCTCATTAGGAAGTCTTAGTTCAACTTGGATAACCTCTTGTTTTTCTACGAAGACAAATGTGGTGTCGTCACTTGAGAGAGAGAGAGAGAGAGAGAGAACACACAGGGGTAATATTTCATTGGCTCTATCAAGATGATTATCTAGTACCCTTATGATGGGGATGAACGCGTGTTCCGTTGTCACGGTGAATGTTCCATTCTGTGGATTCTAAATGGTAGTAATGGGTGTTATTCATTAGGCACCGAACGGAAGAAAATGGATTGAAACAGGCAGGGACTGGACAACCGGGACTACAATAAGAAACACTACATTTCATTTTCTGGAAGGAAAACTTTTTTAAGCATGCCCTGTGTGTGTGTGTGTGTGTGTGTGTGTGTGTGTGTGTGTGTGTGTGTGTGTGGTGTGTGGTGTGTGGTGTGTGTGTGTGTGTGTTTTCCCCTCACCCAGGTAGTTCCAGAAAGACAGGTCCAGTAGTCGTAGCAGAGTGCTGAGCTGGATCAGCTGAGTCTTCATACCCTGCATCTGCTCCTCAAAGTTCTGGTGCTGAGAATTTAGACAACATAGCAATACATTAACACTATATAGACAGGTATACTATATAGACAGATACACTACATGACCAACAGTATGTGGACACCTGCTCGTCGAACATCTCATTCCAAAATCATGGGCATTAATATGGAGTTGGTCCCCCCCTTTGCTGCTATAACAGCCTCCACTCTTCTGGGAAGGCTTTCCACTAGATGTTGGAACATTGCTGCGGGGACTTGCTTCCATTCAGCCACAAGAGCATTAGTGAGGTCGGGCACTGATGTTGGGCGATTAGGCCTGGCTCGCAGTCGGCGTTCCAATTCATCCCAAAAGGTGTTCAATGGGTTGAGGTCAGGGCTCCGTGCAGGCCAGTCAAGTTCTTCCACACCGATCTCAACAAACCATTTCTGTATGGACCTCGCTTTGTGCACGGGGGCATTGTCATGCTGAAACAGGAAAGGGCCTTCCCCAAACTGTTGCCACAAAGTTGGAAGCACAGAATCGTCTAGAATATCATTGTATGCTGTAGCGTTAAGATTTACATTCACTGGAACTAAAGGGTCTAGCCCGAAACATGAAAAACAGCCCCAGACCATTATTCCTCCTCCTCATCACTTTACAGTTGCCACTATGCACTTGGGCAGGTAGCGTTCTCCTGGCATCCACCAAACCCAGATCCGTCCGTCCGGACTGCCAGATGGTGATGCATGATTCATCACTCCATAAAACGCGTTTCCACTGCTCCAGAGTCCAATGGCGGCGAGCTTTACACCACTCCAGCTGACGCTTGGCATTGCGCATGGTGATCTTAGGCTTATGTGTGGCTGCTCGGCCATGGAAACCAATTTCATGAAGCTCCCGACTAACAGTTATTGTGCTGACGTTGCTTCCAGAGGCAGTTTGGAACTCGGAAGTGAGTGTTGCAAACGAGGACTAATGATCTTTACACGCTTCAGCACTCGGCGGTCCCGTTCTGTGAGCTTGTGTGGCCTACCACTTCACGGCTGAGCCGTTGTTGCTCCGAGACGTTTCCACTTCACAATAACAGCACTTACAGTTGACCGGGGCAGCTCTAGCAGGGCAGACATTTGACGAACTGACTTGTTGGAAAGGTGGCATCCTACGACGGTGCCATGTTGAAAGTCACTGAGCTCTTCAGTAAGGCCATTGTACTGCCACTGTTTTGTCTATGGAGATTGCATGGCTGTGTGCTCGATTTTATACACCTGTCAGCAACGGGTGTGGCTGAAATAGCAGAATCCACTAATTTGAAAGGGTGTCCAGTCAGTCAGTCGGCCAGCTAGTCAGCTAGTAGGCCGGTCGGCCAGCCAGTCAGTCAGCCGGCCAGCCAGTCAGTCGGCCAGCCAGTCAGTCGGCCAGCCAGCCAGCCAGTCAGTCGGCCAGCCAGCCAGTCAGTCGGCCAGCCAGCCAGTCAGTCGGCCAGCCAGTCAGTCGGCCAGCCAGTCTGTCGGCCAGTCACATAACACATCACACCATATTGATGCTCTCTACTCCTTTTCCCTTCCCCACTAACAAGTTGCTAGCTGGCAGGTGTTTATATCAATAAACCCTGATGTAGCCATGTTTGATGTATTAATGGGTGGGATGACAGTCAGAGCACTGGAGATGACATGGTCTTTGGGTTTCCTTTGAATAATGAGGGCCTGTCAGGTACAAGACCACTCAGCCGAGTAATATTAACATGACTGCTGTTTATCCTAACCTGTGAGTGTGTGTATAGCTGTTTACCAGGGAAGACCAGCCCTAGACCAGCCCTGGGCTACAGTATCTATAAAGCTATGAATGGTTCATGAACACGAAATCCCCTTTAGATGACTTCAGTAGCCATGTGGAAGACAGAATAGAGGTAACAGACAGGAAGCTGGATGGTGTCGTAACAGACAGGAAGCTGGATGGTGTTGTAACAGAGAACAGACAGGAAGCTGGATGGTGTTGTAACAGACAGGAAGCTGTATGGTGTTGTAACAGACAGGAAGCTGGATGGTGTTGTAACAGACAGGAAGCTGGATGGTGTTGTAACAGACAGGAAGCTGGATGGTGTTGTAACAGACAGGAAGCTGGATGGTGTTGTAACAGACAGGAAGCTGGATGGCGTTGTAACAGACCGGAAGCTGGATGGTATTGTAACAGAAAGCAGACAGGAAGCTGGATGGTGTTGTAACAGAGAACAGACAGGAAGCTGGATGGTGTTGTAACAGAGAACAGACAGGAAGCTGGATGGTGTTGTAACAGAGAACAGACAGGAAGCTGGATGGTGTTGTAACAGACAGCAGACAGGAAGCTGGATGGTGTTGTAACAGACAACAGACAGGAAGCTGGATGGTGTTGTAACAGACAGGAAACTGGATGGTGCTGTAACAGAACAGACAGGAAGCTGGATGGTGCTGTAACAGAGGAAGCTGGATGGTGTTGTAACAGAGAACAGACAGGAAGCTGGATGGTGTTGTAACAGAACAGACAGGAAGCTGGATGGTGTTGTAACAGAACAGACAGGAAGCTGGATGGTGTTGTAACAGAGAACAGACAGGAAGCTGGATGGTGTTGTAACAGACAACAGACAGGAAGCTGGATGGTGTTGTAACAGACAGCAGACAGGAAGCTGGATGGTGTTGTAACAGAACAGACATGAAGCTGTATGGTGTTGTAACAGACAGGAAGCTGGATGGTGCTGTAACAGACAACAGACAGGAAGCTGGATGGTGTTGTAACAGAAAACAGACAGGAAGCTGGATGGTGTTGTAACAGAACAGACAGGAAGCTGGATGGTGTTGTAACAGACAGGAAGCTGGATGGTGCTGTAACAGACAACAGACAGGAAGCTGGATGGTGTTGTAACAGAAAGCAGACAGGAAGCTGGATGGTTTTGTAACAGAACAGACAGGAAGCTGGATGGTGTTGTAACAGACAGGAAGCTGGATGGTGCTGTAACAGAACAGACAGGAAGCTGGATGGTGTTGTAACAGAACAGACAGGAAGCTGGATGGTGTTGTAACAGAACAGACAGGAAGCTGGATGGTGTTGTAACAGAACAGACAGGAAGCTGGATGGTGTTGTAACAGAACAGACAGGAAGCTGGATAGTGCTGTAACAGAACAGACAGGAAGCTAGATGGTGTTATAAACAACAGAAGCTAGATGGTTACCAGGAAGCTGGATGGTGTTGTAACAGACAGGAAGCTGGATGGTGTTATAACAGAACAGACAGGAAGCTGGATGGTGTTGTAACAGAACAGACAGGAAGCTGGATGGTGTTGTAACAGAACAGACAGGAAGCTGGATGGTGTTGTAACAGAACAGACAGGAAGCTGGATGGTGTTATAACAGAACAGACAGGAACCTGGATGGTGTTGTAACAGACAACAGACAGGAACCTGGATGGTGTTGTAACAGAGAACAGACAGGAAGCTTTATGGTGTTATAACAGAGAACAGACAGGAAGCTGGATGGTGTTGTAACAGAACAGACAGGAAGCTGGATGGTGTTGTAACAGAACAGACAGGAAGCTGGATGGTGTTGTAACAGAACAGACAGGAAGCTGGATGGTGTTATAACAGAACAGACAGGAAGCTGGATGGTGTTGTAACAGAACAGACAGGAACCTGGATGGTGTTGTAACAGAGAACAGACAGGAAGCTTTATGGTGTTATAACAGAGAACAGACAGGAAGCTGGATGGTGTTGTAACAGAACAGACAGGAAGCTGGATGGTGTTGTAACAGAGAACAGACAGGAAGCTGGATGGTGTTATAACAGAGAACAGACAGGAAGCTGGATGGTGTTGTACCAGAACAGACAGGAAGCTGGATGGTGTTGTAACAGAACAGACAGGAAGCTGGATGGTGTTGTAACAGAACAGACAGGAAGCTGGATGGTGTTGTAACAGAGAACAGACAGGAAGCTGGATGGTGTTGTAACAGAACAGACAGGAAGCTGGATGGTGTTATAACAGAGAACAGACAGGAAGCTGGATGGTGTTATAACAGAGAACAGACAGGAAGCTGGATGGTGTTGTAACAGAACAGACAGGAAGCTGGATGGTGTTGTAACAGACAACAGACAGGAAGATGGATGGTGTTGTAACAGAACAGACAGGAAGCTGGATGGTGTTGTAACAGAACAGACAGGAAGCTGGATGGTGTTGTAACAGAACAGACAGGAAGCTGGATGGTGTCGTAACAGAACAGACAGGAAGCTGGATGGTGTTGTAACAGAGAAGAGACAGGAAGCTGGATGGTGTTGTAACAGAACAGACAGGAAGCTGGATGGTGTTGTAACAGAGAACAGACAGGAAGCTGGATGGTGTTGTAACAGAACAGACAGGAAGCTGGATGGTGTTGTAACAGAGAACAGACAGGAAGCTGGATGGTGTTGTAACAGAGAACAGACAGGAAGCTGGATGGTGTTGTAACAGAACAGACAGGAAGCTGGATGGTGTTGTAACAGAGAACAGACAGGAAGCTGGATGGTGTTGTAACAGAACAGACAGGAAGCTGGATGGTGTTGTAACAGAGAACAGACAGGAAGCTGGATGGTGTTGTAACAGAACAGACAGGAAGCTGGATGGTGTTGTAACAGACAACAGACAGGAAGATGGATGGTGTTGTAACAGAACAGACAGGAAGCTGGATGGTGTTGTAACAGAACAGACAGGAAGCTGGATGGTGTTGTAACAGAACAGACAGGAAGCTGGATGGTGTCGTAACAGAACAGACAGGAAGCTGGATGGTGTTGTAACAGAGAAGAGACAGGAAGCTGGATGGTGTTGTAACAGAACAGACAGGAAGCTGGATGGTGTTGTAACAGAGAACAGACAGGAAGCTGGATGGTGTTGTAACAGAACAGACAGGAAGCTGGATGGTGTTGTAACAGAGAACAGACAGGAAGCTGGATGGTGTTGTAACAGAGAACAGACAGGAAGCTGGATGGTGTTGTAACAGAGAACAGACAGGAATCTGGATGGTGTTGTAACAGAACAGACAGGAAGCTGGATGGTGTTATAACAGGTTGGATAATAAGATAGAAAAACAAACTAATTCAGAACACAAATCATAGAGCTGTAGTGATGTCATAAGGTTGGATAATACTACTAAGGGAAATAGAACACAAATCATAGGGCAGGGAGTGACAAGGAGTGGCATCAAAAAGCATGAGGGTGATCGGTAACCTCAGTGGAGTGGAAATGATTGGTCAGAAGACAGCCACACCTTCTCAGCTGATAGACACTGGTCAGCCATTGGTGGAACCATGAAGCTCTGCTCAGCCATTGGTGGAGGCTATGGGGGAGTGGTCATAGATGCATCCTTTGTGAAATGCACCATGGGAACCCAGCGTGGTCAGGTAATCAGGTCACACTCTACCAACACTGACCTAGTTGGCCTCTCTCTTGATAAACAGGGAGAACTGTGCCGTCTTAGACATGGAATTACTAGAACGGACAGCCTCAATTAATTTGCTTTGGTCTGAGGGGCTTTGTCCATTATAGTAATTATATTTCTATATTACGTATGTTCTAGTATATCTAGTTCTATGTTGTCAGTCTCACCATCTGGTCCATGAAGCAGACAAAGCACCAGAAGGCGTCCACCTCGTTCTCCATCACATAGAGAATAGGAGACAGCAGGTCACTCATACCCTGGACATAGCCTGGTGACGGAGCAAAAACAACCCGGTTTAGTCAGTCAGTCAATCAATCAATCAAAGCCTGGTGATGACAGAGAGAGAGAGAGAGGATTTGAAACAGTTCTGGAGAGCTTTCATACAACAAAGTCTTGACCAAAGGAGGTTGGTGGCACCTTAATTGGGGAGGACGGGCTGGTGGTAATGGCTGGTGCGGAATCAGTGGAATGGTATCAAATATATCAAACCATTGGTTTCCATGTGTTTGATGCCATTCCAGTCGCTCCGTTCCAGACATTATTATGAGCCGTCCTCCCCTCAGCAGCCTCCAATGATCTTGACAATCATGTCTGGTGCTGAGTGGCCATGTAGTATTATTGTCTGTTGGTGAATCTTCAGTGACAACCCAGTAGAGGCTGAGTACATTCAGTATGACAAGCTTCGTCTTACCCAGGTCAAAGTCATTCAGTACGACAAGCTTCGTCTTACCCAGGTCAAAGTCATTCAGTACGACAAGCTTTGTCTAACCCAGGTCAAAGTCATTCAGTATGACAAGCTTCGTCTTACCCAGGTCAAAGTCATTCAGTATGACAAGCTTCGTCTTACCCAGGTCAAAGTCATTCAGTATGACAAGCTTCGTCTTACCCAGGTCAAAGTCATTCAGTATGACAAGCTTCGTCTTACCCAGGTCAAAGTCATTCAGTATGACAAGCTTCGTCTTACCCAGGTCAAAGTCATTCAGTACGACAAGCTTCGTCTTACCCAGGTCAAAGTCATTCAGTACGACAAGCTTTGTCTAACCCAGGTCAAAGTCATTCAGTATGACAAGCTTCGTCTTACCCAGGTCAAAGTCATTCAGTATGACAAGCTTCGTCTTACCCAGGTCAAAGTCATTCAGTATGACAAGCTTCGTCTTACCCAGGTCAAAGTCAAAGTCATTCAGTATGACAAGCTTCGTCTTACCCAGGTCAAAGTCATTCAGTATGACAAGCTTCGTCTTACCCAGGTCAAAGTCATTCAGTATGACAAGCTTCGTCTTACCCAGGTCAAAGTCATTCAGTATGACAAGCTTCGTCTTACCCAGGTCAAAGTCATTCAGTATGACAAGCTTCGTCTTACCCAGGTCAAAGTCATTCAGTTTGACAAGCTTCGTCTTACCCAGGTCAAAGTCATTCAGTATGACAAGCTTCGTCTTACCCAGGTCAAAGTCATTCAGTATGACAAGCTTCGTCTTACCCATGACAAGCTTCGTCTTACCCAGGTCAAAGTCATTCAGTATGACAAGCTTCGTCTTACCCAGGTCAAAGTCATTCAGTATGACAAGCTTCGTCTTACCCAGGTCAAAGTCATTCAGTATGACAAGCTTCGTCTTACCCAGGTCAAAGTCATTCAGTATGACAAGCTTCGTCTTACCCAGGTCAAAGTCATTCAGTATGACAAGCTTTGTCTTACCCAGGTCAAAGTCATTCAGTATGACAAGCTTCGTCTTACCCAGGTCAAAGTCATTCAGTATGACAAGCTTCGTCTTACCCAGGTCAAAGTCATTCAGTACGACAAGCTTCGTCTTACCCAGGTCAAAGTCATTCAGTATGACAAGCTTCGTCTTACCCAGGTCAAAGTCATTCAGTACGACAAGCTTCGTCTTACCCAGGTCAAAGTCATTCAGTACGACAAGCTTTGTCTTAACCAGGTCAAAGTCATACATGCAGTATGACAAGCTACGTCTTACCCAGGTCAAAGTCATACATGCAGTATGACAAGCTACGTCTTACCCAGGTCAAAGTCATACATGCAGTATGACAAGCTTTGTCTTACCCAGGTCAAAGTCATACATGCAGTATGACAGGCTTAGTCTTACCCAGGTCAAAGTCATACATGCAGTAGGTCAAGCTTTGTCTTACCCAGGTCAAAGTCATACATGCAGTAGGTCAAGCTTTGTCTTACCCAGGTCAAAGTCATACATGCAGTATGACAAGCTTTGTCTTACCCAGGTCAAAGTCATACATGCAGTATGACAGGCTTTGTCTTACCCAGGTCAAAGTCATACATGCAGTATGACAAGCTATGTCTTACCCAGGTCAAAGTCATACATGCAGTATGACAAGCTTTGTCTTACCCAGGTCAAAGTCATACATGCAGTATGACAGGCTTTGTCTTACCCAGGTCAAAGTCATACATGCAGTAGGTCATGAGGACGTCGTGCAGCAGAATCAGTCCTGGGCTGTCTGCTCCTTCATAGAACGTGTTGGTCCGATCTGTCCTGTTCACGTCTTTATCTGTGGAGGAAATCAACGCAGTCAGGGACCTTAGGATCAGAATCATCTTTATTCACCAAATACATTTTTGCGTGTACAGGATTTGACTCAGTGAAACGGTGCTGCTATGGAGTTAGACAGACAGACAATTACATACAGACAATAGACAGAAAATACAGACAAAATATATAGATGCAGAATTTACACAATCCATCCTTACGGACTGACGGACGGACGTGCGGACGGACTGACGGCCTGTCTTTAGACTCTGTTTATCTGTCCTGTTTACTTCTTTCTCTGTAGAGGGAACTAACAGCCACCAGGGCCAGTATTCATAAAGAGTAGGAGGGTCTTTCTCTGTAGAGGGAACTAACAGCCACCAGGGCCAGTATTCATAAAGAGTAGGAGGGTCTTTCTCTGTAGAGGGAACTAACAGCCACCAGGGCCAGTATTCATAAAGAGTAGGAGGGTCTTTCTCTGTAGAGGGAACTAACAGCCACCAGGGCCAGTATTCATAAAGAGTAGGAGGGTCTTTCTCTGTAGAGGGAACTAACAGCCACCAGGGCCAGTATTCATAAAGAGTAGGAGGGTCTTTCTCTGTAGAGGGAACTAACAGCCACCAGGGCCAGTATTCATAAAGAGTAGGAGGGTCTTTCTCTGTAGAGGGAACTAACAGCCACCAGGGCCAGTATTCATAAAGAGTAGGAGGGTCTTTCTCTGTAGAGGGAACTAACAGCCACCAGGGCCAGTATTCATAAAGAGTCAGAGTAGGAGGAGTACTGATCTATTAGAACATAATGAATCAGATGACATGGACAGAAGGAACCTGATCCTGGGTCAGCACTCCTACTCTGAGAGCCTTTACGAATACAGGCCCCGACTTCACCACACAAACTCGCCTGATTGTCCTTAGACAAAAGTTTACTACCAGGAGTTGAAGTCAGAAATGGAACCAGCAGCACTTCAGTAGATCTGCATTGCTCCGTGCCAGCCGCCGCTAATTTCCATATTCATTTCAGGTTGACATTTACAGAGAGCACACAACCCTAACCCTGTTACAACCGGAGCCTAATTTCTATCCTTTGAATAGAGAGGGGCGAGACTCAGAGAGAGAGAGAGCAAGAGAGAGCGAGAGAGAGGAGAGAGAGAGAGCGAGAGAGACAGAGACAGAGACAGAGAGAGAGAGAGAGAGAGAGAGAGGGAGAGGGAGAGGGAGAGGGAGAGAGAGAGAGAGAGGAGAGAGGGAGAGAGAGAGAGAGAGAGAGAGAGAGGAGAGAGACGGAGAGAGAGAGAGAGAGAGAGAGAGAGAGACAGAGAGAATAGAAATGCCAAGTACATTGAGGTGCCAGCCAGATGCAGTATGGATCATTCCTCTACAATCAGGAGATGAGACCCCATTACCTGGCTGACACGGGCTACGTCCCAAATGGCCACCTAGTCCCTATTTAGTGCACACAGGGGCTCTGGTCAAAAGTAGTGCACTCTACAGGGTGCCATTTGGGACGTAGCCACGGGGCTCTGTTCTACAGGCTGACGACGCTGATGGAATATTGAATAAAACATGGGGTTGATCCGACGGGAGCCAGATTGGTTCCAGGCCCAGCTCAGTCTTCAAGCTGCTAAACCAGGAGTGGTGTCACACTTTGTTTTCGATGGCTTTGCTGAGCAGTTTGGGGTGAAACCCAGACCGAATGTGGCCAAGTTTTGTTCTTCACTGGCTGGGGAAGTTTAAATTGCTGACAGGATCCTGGAACAAGGAGCCTGACTCATTAGCATATTGGAAAGGTCTCCTATCTGTTGGCCACAGTGCCCATTGTACAAACCACTTACCCATCCTACTGTCAGACCAACAGAATCAAATAGAATACAACTATTGTCCTTCAGTTTGAATGGACGTTTGGCTTCTGGCTTCCCCAACACCCCCAGATACACAAACACACGTTGAGCGGCACAGGGTCAGCAGCAGCAATTGTGGGGGTTAAGTGCCTTGCTCAAGGGCACAATGGCAGGATATGTTACATGTGATGAAAGCCTTCCGGCTGCTGGTCTAACCTCTAGGATACTGCCAATACACGTTATCTGGTGACTAACATTCTGTTAGAAGAAGATGATGGTGGTGATTACCGGTACCTATAAGACTCCTGACTAACATTCTGTTAGAAGATGATGATGATGGTGGTGATTACCTATAAGACTCCTGACTAACATTCTGTTAGAAGTGATGATGATGATGATGGTGGTGATTACCTATAAGACTCCTGTGGTCTCTTAACCTGCTGTTGCGTTTCTCTTGCTCCTCACTCACTGACTTCCACTGGAGCTTCATACGGAAGTACTCATCCCTGAGGAAAGAGAGGAAGAGAGGATGAGAAGAGGCAATAAGTAGTCATCGTTGAGGAAAGATTAAAAAAAAAAATAATAATGTATGCACTCACTAACTGTAAGTGGCTCTGGATAAGAGCGTCTGCTAAATGACTAAAATGTAAATGAATGAGAAAAGTAAAGGAGAGAGACGACGCGGGGAAAAAATTGATAGTTACATATCACAATATTATTTTGGACTATATTATAGATACTTTGACTCAAAGTAAAAAAAAATATTAAAAAAATGTATATTTTCATATTTTGCTAGATAGTGTTAGCTAGTGCTAGTCGACTATCTGCGGCAAAACGCCAGTATTTTCCGTCCTATAGCATCTTATTTTTAAAGGCCCAGTGCAGTCAAAATCGTGATTTTCCTGTCTTTTAAATACATTTCCACACTATAAGGTTGAAATAATATTGTGAAAATTATAATGCCATTTTAGTGTAAGAGTTGTTTGAAAAGACCGCCTGAAATTTCTGTCTGTTTTGGTGGGATGGAGTTTTGTCCTGCTTGGTGACATCACCAGGCAGTAAATTAGTTAACAGACCAATAAGAAAGAGCGTTCCAAACCTCTCTGCCAATCACAGCTAGTGTTCCCCTCCCCACTCAGACCACTCCCAGAGAGCCCTTGCTAAATCCTTGCTTGAGAATAAACTATTTTTGTTTCTTTTTGACCCTTTTAATTAAAAAACAAATCACAGGAAGGTACTTAATTGTTTCCCAGAAATTATTTGATATTCAGATAAAAAAATGGCCGCATTGGACCTTTTAATAGTGACCCAACATGTTATCAGCACTTATTTCCATGACTGATCAAAACTTATTTTCTCACGGTCTCTCTGCAGCAGACAGTTAGTGAGCAATATGTTTGGAACATCAAATCGCAATATCGAATCGTAATACATATAGAGTCGGCACATACGTATCGTGATAATATCGTATCGTAATACATATAGAGTCGGCACATACGTATCGTGATAATATCGTATCGTAATACATATAGAGTCGGCACATACGTATCGTGATAATATCGTATCGTGAGGTCCCTGACAATTCCCAGCCCTAATGCCCTAACCTCATTTAGGGGTGTGTTTACTGTGTGATGTATAATAATCTCTGAAGCTGGAGACTCTTATCTCCCTCACTAACTTTAAGCATCAGTTGTCAGAGCACCTTACCGATCACTGCACCTGTACACAGCCCATCTGAAATTAGCCCACCCAACTACCTCATCCCTATATTGTTATTTATTTTGTTCATTTGTACCCCAGTATCTCTATTTGCACATCATCTCTTGCACATCTATCATTCCAGTGTTAATACTAATTGTAATTATTTTGCACTATGGCCTATTTATTGCCTTACCTCCATAACTTACTATATTTGCACACACTGTATATATATGTATTTCTGTTGTATTTTTGACTTTATGTTTTGTTTTACCCCATATGTAACTCTGTGTTGTTGTTTTTATAGCACTGCTTGGCTTTATCTTGGCCAGGTCGCAGTTGTAAATGAGAACTTGTTCTCAACTGGCTTACCTGGTTAAATAAAGGTGAAATAAAATAAAAAATAAAAAAATAAACAGGATAGTAGGGGCCACTTTACTTTCCTTAAACTGGTTTACAACATAACCTGGTGCTGTGCTATGAGAACTAGTATTCTCTTCATACACCGTACTCATAACGCCATCTGAACAGCACCGTTTGTTTTCACACAAACTTATTAGCCATTCTGAAATCCAAAGTCATATTTACTTGTAAATGTAAAGCTTACCGATTCATAAACTTTGTGAAAATCTCTCTACAACCATAAAGACAACATGACGTGAGAGTTGTGGGGTTTCACATCCTAGTATTTCATCAACAGTGCTGTTATGATGCAGATCTGACAGAGATAACGTGTCAACCATGGCAGGGCTCCCAGTCTCCTAATGAGTAGGAGTAGCTCTCTCACGTTTTCCTCCTGGTCAGACTCCTCCTCTCCTCCGAGGTGCTCTCCCAGGGGAAGTAGCCCAGCAGAAACTTCCATCCCTCCTTCCTCAACACATGACACAGACCCTAGGACGGAAGGAGAGACAGAAAGAGTGATGGGGGGAGAGGGAGAGAGAGAGAGAGAGAGACAGAGAGAGAGAGAGAGACAGAGAGAGAGAGAGAGAAGACAGAGACATAGATAATAAGAGAGACAGAGAGAGAGAGGAGAGAGAGAGACAGAGAGCGAGAGAGAAACAGAGAGAAGAGACAAGAGAGAGATAGAGTAGCAACGAGCGAGAGACATAGAGTAGAGAGATAGCGCGTGAGAGAGACCAGAGAGAGAACAGAGAGAGAGAAGAGAGGAGAGAGACAGAGAAGAAGAGAGAAGAGAGAAGAGAGAGAAGAGAAAGAGAGAGAGAAGAGTAAAGAAGAGAGAAGAGGAGAAGAGAGAGAGAGAGGAGAGACAAACAGAGAGAGAGAGAGAGAGAGAAGTAGAAGATAAGAGACAACAGAGAATAGAGAGAGAGAGAGAGAGAAGAAGAGAAGAGACTAGAGAAGACAGAGCAAGTATAGAGAGAAGAGAATAGACAGAGATAACAGAGAGACAGTAGAGTAAGACAAATGAGAGAGAGAACAGAACGAAATCATAGAGAGTAACACTTTTATTCCCACAGCCCTACAGTAGATATAAAACAAAGCCTACGACCTACTCCAGTCAACTCAATTATCACGCAGAGAGAAGAAGACGGGAGACAAACGAGTCTCTGGAAAAAGAAGGCGACCCTATTTTATCATCCAAGTAACTTACAAACGAGGCTAAAGAGGCTATCCCGTAACTCCATTTATTCAGTCTGTTGCTTCAAGAGGACAAAACGATCTCTGAGAAGAGGCTGACCCCTATTTTTATATCCACCACGTAGAGAGACTAGAGAGAGGCATCAGATACTGCCTTTAATGAGTGTTCTGCCTCACTGCTCAAGGCCACAGGCAGACCGACTCACAATGCAATATTGAGGAGATACTGTAGCTAGCTCTGTGAAGGATGGACAGTATTGAGGAGATACTGTAGCTAGCTCTGTGAAGGATGAACAGTATTGAGGAGATACTGTAGCTAGCTCTGTGAAGGATGAACAGTATTGAGGAGCTACTGTAGCTAGCTCTGTGAAGGATGGACAGTATTGAGGAGCTACTGTAGCTAGCTCTGTGAAGGATGGACAGTATTGAGGAGATACTGTAGCTAGCTCTGTGAAGGATGAACAGTATTGAGGAGATACTGTAGCTAGCTCTGTGAAGGATGAACAGTATTGAGGAGCTACGGTAGCTAGCTCTGTGAAGGATGAACAGTATTGAGGAGCTACTGTAGCTAGCTCTGTGAAGAATGAACAGTATTGAGGAGATACTGTAGCTAGCTCTGTGAAGGATGGACAGTATTGAGGAGATACTGTAGCTAGCTCTGTGAAGGATGAACAGTATTGCGGAGATACTGTAGCTAGCTCTGTGAAGGATGGACAGTATTGAGGAGATACTGTAGCTAGCTCTGTGAAGGATGGACAGTATTGAGGAGATACTGTAGCTAGCTCTGTGAAGGATAAACAGTGTTGAGGAGATACTGTAGCTAGCTCTGTGAAGGATGGACAGTATTGAGGAGATACTGTAGCTAGCTCTGTGAAGGATAAACAGTGTTGAGGAGATACTGTAGCTAGCTCTGTGAAGGATGGACAGTATTGAGGAGATACTGTAGCTAGCTCTGTGAAGGATGAACAGTATTGCGGAGATACTGTAGCTAGCTCTGTGAGGATGGACAGTATTGAGGAGCTACTGTACTAGCTCTGTGAAGGATGACAGTATTGAGGAGATACTGTAGCTAGCTCTGTGAAGGATGAACAGTATTGAGGAGATACTGTAGCTAGCTCTGTGAAGGATGAACAGTATTGAGGAGATACTGTAGCTAGCTCTGTGAAGGATGAACAGTATTGAGGAGATACTGTAGCTAGCTCTGTGAAGGATGGACAGTATTGAGGAGATACTGTAGCTAGCTCTGTGAAGGATGGAACAGTATTGAGGAGATACTGTAGCTAGCTCTGTGAAGGATAACAGTGTTGAGGAGATACTGTAGCTAGCTCTGTGAAGGATGGAACAGTATTGAGGAGATACTGTAGCTAGCTCTGTGAAGGATGGACAGTATTGAGGAGTTACTGTAGCTAGCTCTGTGAAGGATGGACAGTATTGAGGAGCTACTGTAGCTAGCTCTGTGAAGGATGGACAGTATTGAGGAGATACTGTAGCTAGCTCTGTGAAGGATGGACAGTATTGAGGAGATACTGTAGCTAGCTCTGTGAAGGATGGACAGTATTGAGGAGATACTGTAGCTAGCTCTGTGAAGGATGGACAGTATTGAGGAGATACTGTAGCTAGCTCTGTGAAGGATGAACAGTATTGAGGAGATACTGTAGCTAGCTCTGTGAAGGATGAACATATTGAGGAGTTACTGTAGCAAGCTCTGTGAAGGATGAACAGTATATGAAGGAACAGCATTAAAAGCAGTGCTGGATTTGTGCTGTTGCTGCTCTCTTAATTAACAGCAGAGGGTGTGTGCGTGTGTGTGTGTCTAGGGCTACCTCTGTGGCTACAGGGGATACAAATCTCAGGATGTGGTGACTCAAGTGTGAAACAGACACTACAATACAGACCCTATTGGTTAAAACAGACACTCTACAATACAGATCCTAGTAACACACTCTAAATAGACATATTGTAAACGCACCTAAAGTCTAGGTTAAAACAGACACTCTACAATACAGATCCTTATGTCTGGTTAAACAGACACTCTACAAATCCTATTAAACAGACATCTTTCCTATTGGGTTAAAACAGACACTCTACAATACAGATCCTATTGGTTAAAACAGACACTCTACAATACAGATCTATTGGTTAAAACAGACACTCTACAATACAGATCCTATTGGTTAAAACAGACACTCTACAATACAGATCCTATTCATGTCTGGTTAAAACAGACACTCTACAATACAGATCCTATTGGTTAAAACAGACACTCTACAATACAGATCCTATTGGTTAAAACAGACACTTACAATACAGATCCTATTGGTTAAAACAGACACTCTACAATACAGATCCTATTGGTTAAAACAGACACTCTACAATACAGATCCTATTGGTTAAAACAGACACTCTACAATACAGATCCTACTTGGTTAAAACAGACACTACAATAAAAATCATATTCTTACAGAACAGTAGATAAATTACAATAGCAACACCATTTACTAAATATACTATTTTGTTTGGATGTTTTTCAACTTATTCAGAGCAGTGTTGTTATAGCAGGCAGCATTACACAAAGTGACAGGCGGAGAGAGTGACCATTTACCTGTGTTATTCAAAAGGGATGTGTTGCCTATTTGTTGGGGAAAAAGTGTAATTCCACAATATGCAAACATTGCAAAATCCGTTGCCAGGATATTTCAGTTGAGATACAGAGACTGACCCGTTTGATAATGTATTTCAGTATGTTATATCATGTTGTATTTAGTTGGTTCCTGGTGTTTCAGTATGTTACCATGCTGTATTTAGTTGGTTCCTGGTGTTTCAGTATGTTACCATGCTGTATTTAGTTGGTTCCTGGTGTTTCAGTATGTTACCATGCTGTATTTAGTTGGTTCCTGGTGTTTCAGTATGTTATCATGCTGTATTTAGTTGGTTCCTGGTGTTTCAGAATGTTATCATGCTGGTATTTAGTTGGTTCCTGGTGTTTCGTATGTTACATGTGTATTTAGTTGGTTCCTGGTGTTTCAGTATGTTATCATGCTGTATTTAGTTGGTTCCTGGTGTTTCAGTATGTTATCATGCTGTATTTAGTTGGTTCCTGGTGTTTCAGTATGTTATCATGCTGTATTTAGTTGGTTCCTGGTGTTTCAGTATGTTACCATGCTGTATTTAGTTGGTTCCTGGTGTTTCAGTATGTTATCATGCTGTATTTAGTTGGTTCCTGGTGTTTCAGTATGTTATCATGCTGTATTTAGTTGGTTCCTGGTGTTTCAGTATGTTATCATGCTGTATTTAGTTGGTTCCTGGTGTTTCAGTATGTTATCATGCTGTATTTAGTTGGTTCTGGTGTTTCAGTATGTTACCATGCTGTATTTAGTTGGTTCCTGTGTTTCAGTATGTTATCATGTGTATTTAGTTGGTTCCTGGTGTTTCAGTATGTTATCATGCTGTATTTAGTTGGTCCTGGTGTTTCAGTATGTTACCATGCTGTATTTAGTTGGTTCCCGGTGTTTCCGTATGTTATCATGCTGTATTTAGTTGGTTCCTGGTGTTTCAGTATGTTTACCATGCTTGTATTTAGTTGGTTCCTGGTGTTTCAGTATGTTATCATGCTGTATTTAGTTGGTTCCTGGTGTTTCAGTATGTTATCATGCTGTATTTAGTTGGTTCCTGGTGTTTCAGTATGTTACCATGCTGTATTTAGTTGGTTCCTGGTTGTTTCAGTATGTTATCCATGCTGTATTTAGGTTGGTTCCTGGTGTTTTCAGTATGTTATCCATGCTGTATTTAGTTGGTTCTGGTGTTTCAGTATGTTATCATGTTGTATTAGTTGGTTCCTGGTGTTTCAGTATGTTATCATGCTTGTATTTAGTTGGTTACTGGTGTTTTCAGTATGTTACCATGCTGTATTTAGTGGTTCCTGGTGTTTCAGTATGTTATCATGCTGTATTTAGTTGGTTCCTGGTGTTTCAGTATGTTACATGTTGTATTTAGTTGGTTGCCTGGTGTGTTTCATTATGTTATCAATGCTGTTATTTAGTTGGTTCCTGGTGGTTTCAGTATGTTACCATGCTTGTATTTAGTTGGTTCCTGGTGTTTCAGTATGTTACCATGCTTGTATTTAGTTGGTTCCTGGTGTTTCAGTATGTTATCATGCTGTATTTAGTTGGTTCCTGGGTGTTTCAGTATGTTACCATGCTGTATTTAGTTGGTTCCTGGTGTTTTCAGTATGTTATATCATGCTGTATTTAGTTGGTTCCTGGTGTTTCAGTATGTTACCATGTGTATTTAGTTGGTTCCTGGTGTTTCAGTATGTTATCATGCTGTATTTAGTTGGTTCCTGGTGTTTCAGTATGTTACCATGCTGTATTTAGTTGGTTCCTGGTGTTTCAGTATGTTACCATGCTGTATTTAGTTGGTTCCTGGTGTTTCAGTATGTTACCATGCTGTATTTAGTTGGTTCCTGGTGTTTCAGTATGTTATCATGCTGTATTTAGTTGTTCCTGGTGTTTCAGTATGTTACCATGCTGTATTTAGTTGGTTCCTGGTGTTTCAGTATGTTATCATGCTGTATTTAGTTGGTTCCTGGTGTTTCAGTATGTTACCATGCTGTATTTAGTTGTTCCTGGTGTTTCAGTATGTTACCATGCTGTATTTAGTTGGTTCCTGGTGTTTCAGTATGTTACCATGCTGTATTTAGTTGGTTCCTGGTGTTTCAGTATGTTATATCATGCTGTATTTAGTTGGTTCCTGGTGTTTCATTATGTTACCATGCTGTATTTAGTTGGTTCCTGGTGTTTCAGTATGTTATCATGTTGTATTTAGTTGGTTCCTGGTGTTTCAGTATGTTACCATGCTGTATTTAGTTGGTTCCTGGTGTTTCAGTATGTTACCATGCTGTATTTAGTTGGTTCCTGGTTTCAGTATGTTACATGCTGTATTTAGTTGGTTCCTGGTGTTTCAGTATGTTACCATGCTGTATTTAGTTGGTTCCTGGTGTTTCAGTATGTTACCATGCTGTATTTAGTTGGTTCCTGGTGTTTCAGTATGTTACCATGCTGTATTTAGTTGGTTCCTGGGGTTCAGTATGTTACCCATGCTGTATTTTAGTTGGTTCCTGGTGTTTCAGTATGTTATCATGCTGTATTTAGTTGGTTCCTGGTGTTTCAGTATGTACCATGCTGTATTAGTTGGTTCCTGGTGTTTCAGTATGTTACCATGCTGTATTTAGTTGGTTCCTGGTGTTTCAGTATGTACCATGCGTATTTAGTTGGTTCCTGGTGTTCAGTATGTTACCATGCTCGTATTAGGTTGTTCCTGGTGTTTCAGTATGTTACCATGCTGTATTTAGTTGGTTCCTGGTGTTTCAGTATGTTATCATGCTGTATTTAGTTGGTTCCTGGGGTTTCAGTATGTTACCATGCTGTATTTAGTTGGTTCCTGGTGTTTCAGTACGTTACCATGCTGTATTTAGTTGGTTCCTGGTGTTTCAGTACGTTACCATGCTGTATTTAGTTGGTTCCTGGTGTTTCAGTATGTTACCATGCTGTATTTAGTTGGTTCCTGGTGTTTCAGTATGTTATCATGCTGTATTTAGTTGGTTCCTGGTGTTTCAGTATGTTATCATGCTGTATTTAGTTGGTTCCTGGTGTTTCAGTATGTTACCATGCTGTATTTAGTTGGTTCCTTACCCCTTTGAATATGGTCTGTTTGAGGTGTGAGACGTTCCTCATGCGTCCCTCAGGGTCCATGTTGGTGTTCCACTCCTCCGCCCCAACAGGCTCCCTACGCCGGACCGCTGGCCGCACGCCAAGATCAATCTACCAGGAGAGGACAGATAGGGAGAGTATGGAAATACTGCATTAACGACGCATGCTACTGCTCCGTCAATAACACACTATAGAGAGAGGCAGGGAGGGAGGGGAGTGAGAGAGAGAGAGAGAAATTCTAACAAATATGTTACCAAATTCTAAATAGAGATATCAAATTAGCACAACACCTTGTCAAAATCAAAGAATTCAAACAAAGGAAGACATTAACAATGTACAGACTCTGTGACCATAGCCTGGCCATAAAGACAGGACGCCATAGAAAAACATGGAAGGTCAGAGAAGAAAGACTATGTCAGCACTGTGAGTCAGGTGACGTACAGGAGGACCAGCCCTTCCTACTCCACATGTGACTCAGAGGTATTTACCTCCTGGAATGTAAAGAATGAATTGCAGGATTTCTTGAACTGCCTGTTGAGGAGAAAATCTCCATTTTGTTAGGATAAAAACGTAGACAGAAGATCTAGCTGCAGATTATGTCCTGACCTGTCATAATATTAGAGACAATAGATCTAGTTACAGATTATGTCCTGACCTGTCATAATATTAGAGACAATAGATCTAGTTACAGATTATGTCCTGACCTGTCATTATATTAGAGACAATAGATCTAGTTACAGATTATGTCCTGACCTGTCATAATATTAGAGACAATAGATCTAGTTACAGATTATGTCCTGACCTGTCATAATATTAGAGACAATAGATCTAGTTACAGATTATGTCCTGACCTGTCATAATATTAGAGACAATAGATCTAGCTGCAGATTATGTCCTGACCTGTCATAATATTAGAGACAATAGATCTAGCTACAGATTATGTCCTGACCTGTCATAATATTAGAGACAATAGATCTAGTTACAGATTATGTCCTGACCTGTCATAATATTAGAGCCCTTCTAGATTTACTTTCTTAATTGTTGTTTGTTTCTTTGTGGTGAATTATTCTCCACATATAATTGTATTTGTTGATATTATTATTGTTGCTCAAACATATTGTTCATTTGTAATACTTCACATACATTGCTTTGGCAACAGTGGCAACCACCCATTCATGTCAATAAAGCATTTATTGAATTGAGAGAGAGAGAGAGACAGAGAGACAGAGAGACAGAGAGAGAGAGAGAGAGAGAGAGAGAGACAGAGAGAGAGAGAGAGAGAGACAGAGAGAGAGAGAGAGACAGAGAGAGAGAGAGAGAGAGACAGAGAGAGAGAGAGACAGAGAGAGACAGAGAAAATAAGAGAGGAGAGACAGACAGCTGTTATTCCCACAGCCCTACAGTAAGTAACATTAACAAACAGGCCTAACAGAGCTACTCCAGTTCAAACTCAGACATTTACTTCCAGCTGTTGCTTCAGAGAGAAAGAAGACGGGAGACAAAACAATCTCTGAGAAGAGATGGGGAGAAGCAGGGTTAGGGTCATGGGTGTCAGGGTTAGAGTAAGGGGGGGTCAAATCCATCGTGTAACTCATGAGGGTCACGACCCCGTGGAAATCCAATAAAACCCCAAGCTCTGGCTGCAACGCTCATTACGTGGTGGCCGTTTAAATGTAAATCATTTTAAAATCGCTATTTCCAATGTATGTGTGTATGTGAATATGTGTTTCATAGATAAACTATGTGTCCCGTACAGTATGCAGCCAGGCCTACACAAACGTCCAGTTGACAGCTGTGTGACGCTCTGTTCGCCAGGCCATCATCAACCTGGTACAACACTGTAGCTAATACAGTCTGTCCTGATTTACCCACTCAAGCCAATTGAACAGTTCTGCTCAGAGAGGTAGAGAGAGATAGAAGAAGTGGGTTCAGCCAGGGAGAAAGACAAGACTAACTAAATCCTAAGCTAAGAAGGGGGGGGAGCTGTTTCCATGGGGACCGGGCTGATAAGGGGGGAGAGGAGGGTGGGGTGGGGGGGGGGAATAGGAGTCAATAATTCATGAGCTTTGTGATAAGCAGTGAAGTTTGTGTGCGTGTGTGTGCGCCTTCCCAGCACCATAACTAGCCAACATCCAGCCAGCCAACACACAAGATGGCCTCTTTTGTTACACCTCCATTGTGTAAATAACTAGGCAGAGATTTAGGAATAACTTTTCTCATGGCAGTGAAAATATTTGGCTGAAGTTGTGGGTTGTATAAACAGAACAAGAGCCCACAAAGCTTCTATATACACAGTGCCTTTGGAAAGTATTCAGACCCATTTACTTTTTCCACATTTTGTTACGTTACAGCCTTATTATAAAATTGATTTAAAATTGTAAAAAATGTCCCTCATCAATCAACACACAATACCCCATAATGACAAAGCAAAAACAGGTTTTTAGAAATATCACATTTACATAAGTATTCAGACCCTTTACTCAGTACTTTGTTGAAGCACCTTTGGCAGCGATTACAGCCTTGAGTCTTCTTGGGTATGACACTACAAGCTTGGCACACCTGTATTTGGGGAGTTTCTCCCATTCTTCTCTGCAGTTCCTCTTAAGCTCTGTCTGGTTGGATGGGGAGCATCGCTGCAAAGCTATTTTCAGGTCTATCCAGAGATGTTCGATCAGGTTCAAGTCCGGGCTCTGGCTGGGCCACTCAAGGACATTCAGAGACTTGTCCCGAAGCCACTCCTGCATTGTCTTGGCTGTGTGCATAGTGTCTTTGTCCTGTTGGAAGGTGAATCTTTGCCCCAATCTGAGGTCCTGAGCGCTCTGGAGCAGGTTTTCCATCAAGGATCTCTCTGTACTTTGCTCCGTTCATCTTTCTCTCAATCTTGGCTAGCATCCCAGTCCCTGCCGCTGAAAAACATCCGCACAACATGATGCTGCCACCACCATGCTTCACCGTAGGGATGGTGCCAGGTTTCCTTCAGACGCTTGGCATTCAGGCTCAGAGTTCAAGCTTGGTTTCATCAGACCAGAGAATCTTGTTTCTCATGGTCTGAGAGTCCTTTAGGTGCCTTTTGGCAAACTCCAAGCGGGCTGGTTTTTGCTCTGACATGCACTGTCAACTATGGGACCTTATATAGACAGGTGTGTGTGCCTTTCCAAATCATGTCCAATCAATTGAATTTACCACAGGTGGACTCCAATCAAGTTGTAGAAACATCTCAAGGATGATCAATGGAAACAGGATGCACCTGAGCTCAATTTCGAGTCTCATAGCAAAGGGTCTGAATACTTATGTAAATAAAGTATTTCTGTTTTTTTAATACATTTGCAAAAATTTCTAAAAACCTGTTTTCGCTTTGTCATTATGGGCTTTTGTGTGTAGATTGATGAGGAACATTTTGTATTTAATCCATTTTAGAATAAGGCTGTAACATAACAAAATGTGGAAAAAGCGAAGGTGTACTATCCACTAGAAAGACAGACACATTGATTAACCTCACATTGAAAAGACTCAAATATCTGACCAACTTTGTATAGGGTTGCTCTATATACAGAGGTTGTTTTAAAAGGTAAAGTAGCATATTTACACTATTGATCTTTTCTCTCTCTTTTCTAATGATTTCCACATGGTAATAAAGTGACCAGACAGGAGGTTCATGTAATCAAAATCTAATTAAAATCTGGCGTGCGTTGCATTCCTCCTCGACTCAGAGGTTACACTCTGCATCATCAGCCAATCGAACTGTGTGTGTGTGTGTGTGTGTGTGTGTGTGTGAGAGAGAGAGCGAGATAGAGGTCCAATTTATTTACTCACCACAGACATATTTAAATAATTGATCAACCTTTATTTAACCAGGTAGATTGAGGACACATGGTGCTTACAACGCCAAGGGTCGTGGGTTCGATTTTCACTGGAGCCTCCCAAACGTTAAATGTATGCACACATGACTAAGTCTGTTTGGATAAAAGCATCTGCTAAATGGGAAAGGGCATACCTAGTCAGCTGAGGAAAACAGTCCTGGTGTTGAAAGGGGAGACCTAGTCAGCTAGCACAAATGAATGCATTCAACCAAAATGTGTCTTCCTCGTTTAACCCAACCCCTCTGAATCAGAGAGGCGCGGGGGGCTGCCTTAATCAACGTCCACGTCATCGGCGCTCTGGGAGCAGTTGTTGTTGGGGGTTAACTGCCTTGCTCAAAGGCAGAACAGCAGATATGTCCATCTTGCCAGCTCTGGGATTCGAACCAGCGACCTTTCGGTTACTGGCCCAATGCTCTTAACCGCTAGGCTACCTGCCGCCTCACGGCATATATTATTATTGTTCTTATTAAATATTATAACAGCCCGACCAAGACAGTGAATTGTTATCTTTATTTAGATGGAAGATTAGAACCAGGAGGAGGTGATGGTGCACTGTAGTGAAGATAGTTATTAGAACCAGGAGGAGGTGATGGTGCACTGTAGTGAATATAGTTATTAGAACCAGGAGGAGGTGATGGTGCACTGTAGTGAAGATAGTTATTAGAACCAGGAGGTGGTGATGGTGCACTGTAGTGAAGATAGTTATTAGAACCAGGAGGAGGTGATGGTGCACTGTATTGAAGATAGTTATTAGAACCAGGAGGAGGTGATGGTGCACTGTAGTGAAGATAGTTATTAGAACCAGGAGGAGGTGATGGTGCACTGTAGTGAAGATAGTTATTAGAACCAGGAGGAGGTGATGGTGCACTGTAGTGAATATAGTTATTAGAACCAGGAGGAGGTGATGGAGCACTGTAGTGAAGATAGTTATTAGAACCAGGAGGAGGTGATGGTGCACTGTAGTGAAGATAGTTATTAGAACCAGGAGGAGGTGATGGTGCACTGTAGTGAAGATAGTTATTAGAACCAGGAGAAGGTGATGGTGCACTGTAGTGAAGATAGTTATTAGAACCAGGAGGAGGTGATGGAGCACTGTAGTGAAGATAGTTATTAGAACCAGGAGGAGGTGATGGTGCACTGTAGTGAAGATAGTTATTAGAACCAGGAGGAGGTGATGGTGCACTGTAGTGAAGATAGTTATTAGAACCAGGAGGAGGTGATGGTGCACTGTAGTGAATATAGTTATTAGAACCAGGAGGAGGTGATGGAGCACTGTAGTGAAGATAGTTATTAGAACCAGGAGAAGGTGATGGTGCACTGTAGTGAAGATAGTTATTAGAACCAGGAGGAGGTGATGGAGCGCTGTAGTGAAGATAGTTATTAGAACCAGGAGGAGGTGATGGTGCACTGTAGTGAAGATAGTTATTAGAACCAGGAGGTGGTGATGGTGCACTGTAGTGAAGATAGTTATTAGAACCAGGAGGAGGTAATGGAGGCATATGGCTGGTGTCTAGAAACAACGTCCCCACTCTGGACTATAGACCTACTGATGTCCCCACTCTGGACTATAGACCTACTGATGTCCCCACTCTGGACTACAGACCCACTGATGTCCCCACTCTGGACTACAGACCCACTGATGTCCCCACTCTGGACTATAGACCCACTGATGTCCCCACTCTGGACTATAGACCCACTGATGTCCCCACTCTGGACTACAGACCCACTGATGTCCCCACTCTGGACTATAGACCTACTGATGTCCCCACTCTGGACTATAGACCCACTGATGTCCGCACTCTGGACTATAGACCCACTGATGTCCCCACTCTGGACTATAGACCTACTGATGTTCCCACTCTGGACTACAGACCCACTGATGTCCCCACTCTGGACTATAGACCTACTGATGTCCCCACTCTGGACTATAGACCTACTGATGTCCGCACTCTGGACTATAGACCCACTGATGTCCCCACTCTGGACTATAGACCTACTGATGTCCCCACTCTGGACTACAGACCCACTGATGTCCCCACTCTGGACTATAGACCTACTGATGTCCCCACTCTGGACTATAGACCTACTGATGTCCCCACTCTGGACTATAGACCTACTGATGTCCCCACTCTGGACTACAGACCTACTGATGTCCCCACTCTGGACTATAGACCTACTGATGTCTGGACTATAGACCTACTGATGTCCCCACTCTGGACTATAGACCTACTGATGTCCCCACTCTGGACTATAGACCTACTGATGTCCCCACTCTGGACTATAGACCTACTGATGTCCCCACTCTGGACTATAGACCCACTGATGTCCCCACTCTGGACTATAGACCTACTGATGTCCCCACTCTGGACTATAGACCTACTGATGTCCCCACTCTGGACTATAGACCCACTGATGTCCCCACTCTGGACTATAGACCCACTGATGTCCCCACTCTGGACTATAGACCCACTGATGTCCCCACTCTGGACTATAGACCTACTGATGTCCCCACTCTGGACTATAGACCCACTGATGTCCCCACTCTGGACTATAGACCTACTGATGTCCCCACTCTGGACTACAGACCTACTGATGTCCCCACTCTGGACTATAGACCTACTGATGTCCCCACTCTGGACTATAGACCTACTGATGTCCCCACTCTGGACTATAGACCTACTGATGTCCCCACTCTGGACTATAGACCTACTGATGTCCCCACTCTGGACTACAGACCTACTGATGTCCCCACTCTGGACTATAGACCTACTGATGTCTGGACTATAGACCTACTGATGTCCCCACTCTGGACTATAGACCTACTGATGTCCCCACTCTGGACTATAGACCTACTGATGTCCCCACTCTGGACTATAGAGTTCAAACAACATGTTTAAGTGGATTTCTCATTCCCAGTAGTTTCTGAGAAGCACAGCAAGTGTGACATTTTACCGTTCCACTCTGTGTGCCATTACACTGTGTGGGTTGTTCCACTGTGTGGGTTGTTCCACTGTTTGGGTTGTGTGTGGTAACGATTTCTATGTTTAGCCAAACACGTCATCCATCATCACACTCAACCACCCCTGTGGAGAGGAGAGGAGGCTAGCTAGCAGCGCAGGTTGCCTTGGCAACGCTGAGAGCAGAGGGTCACTTCTAATTAAAACAGAGAGGCAATTAGAGAGGACCTGGGTGGCTGTTACCACAACCTCCTGGTGCACTGGAGCGGGACGGGAGAGGGGTGTGTGGGGAAAAGGGGAACTTCTGGCTGAGAGTCCCATCTAGCCGGTCAGCACTGGTCCTGGCTGAGAGTCCCATCTAGCCAGTCTGCACTGGTCCTGGCTGAGAGTCCCATCTAACCAGTCTGCACTGGTCCTGGCTGAGAGTCCCATCTAGCCAGTCTGCACTGGTCCTGGCTGAGAGTCCCATCTAGCCAGTCTGCATTGGTCCTGGCTGAGAGTCCCAACTAACCAGTCTGCACTGGTCCTGGCTGAGAGTCCCATCTAGCCAGTCTGCACCGGTCCTGGCTGAGAGTCCCATCTAGCCAGTATGCACTGGTCCTGGCTGAGAGTCCCATCTAGCTAGTCTGCATTGGTCCTGGCTGAGAGTCCCATCTAACCAGTCTGCACTGGTCCTGGCTGAGAGCCCCATCTAGTCTGCACTGGTCCTGGCTGAGAGTCCCATCTAGCCAGTCCGTACTGGTCCTGGCTGAGAGTCCCATCTAGCCAGTCTGCATTGGTCCTGGCTGAGAGTCCCATCTAACCAGTCTGCACTGGTCCTGGCTGAGAGTCCCATCAAGCCAGTCTGCACCAGTCCTGGCTGAGAGTCCCATCTAGCCGGTCCGCACTGGTCCTGGCTGAGAGTCCCATCTAGCCGGTCCGCACTGGTCCTGGCTGAGAGTCCCATCTAGGCAGTCTGCACCGGTCCTGGCTGAAAGTCCCATCTAGGCAGTCTGCACCGGTCCTGGCTGAGAGTCCCATCTAGCCAGTCTGCACCGGTCCTGGCTGAGAGTCCCATCTAGCCAGTAAGCACCGGTCCTGGCTGAGAGTCCCATCTAGCCAGTCTGCATTGGTCCTGGCTGAGAGTCCCATCTAACCAGTCTGCACTGGTCCTGGCTGAGAGTCCCATCTAGCCAGTCTGCACCGGTCCTGGCTGAAAGTCTGATCTAGCCAGTGAGACAGGTCGGCACTAGGCAGTAAGCAGCCATGCTTCACATCTCAGAAGATTGCTACAGTAGATCACATTGATGTGGTTCTGGAGACCTTAAACCTGTGTTAGATCTGTTCACCTGTGTGTGTTTCCTAGGCCTGCCTGACTTACCCTGGTCTTTATCGCCAAGACAGGTGTGTGTGTGTGTGTGTGTGTGTGTGTGTGTGTGTCCACTCTGACTCACCCTGGTGATGACCTCAAAGCCAGGTTCCTCCTGCTGGTTGATGTCCAGCCCAGGTATGACCTCATTCAGCGGGTCAGCCACCTCCCCGACAGGCCTCTGCTCCGGTAGCTCCGTGTCTGGACCCCGGAACGCATCAAACAGGTAGTTGGTCACCTTGGAGAAACCTCCCAGCGTAGCGGTGACTGGGTCCTGAGTAAACCTCTGTTGGGGAGGTGGGGGAGAGAGGGGGGGGGGAGATGGGGAAAGAGGGTGGAGAGGAGAGGGAAAAGGCAGAGAGGGTTGGGAAGACAGGAAAGATACGGGTCATGAAAGAAGTCATTGGTAACGGTGTGGCACCAGACATTTAGTTTAACTGTAGTCTCACTATTAAGACTTTAAAGATGGCAAGCCCAGGAAGTGATGAGCTTATTTTCGCTATGCTATTTTCACCTAATCGTAGGTGTGAAATGTTACCTTTGGAAGTGCCCACAGCAAGATGACTTACTGCACCAAACATGTCTCATCTTTATATAGTCTACAACACGTTTTTACTTTAGATTTTCATCAGAAGCAAATGGGGAAAGTATCTCAAGAGCACAACAGCTTCGGTCATCGTCTCAGATTCACAACCAAGTCCCATCCCCCGGCCCCCACCTGAAACACCTTCAACTCTCCAGACTGAGTACTCTTACTATGAAGAAGTAAAAGCCTACAATATCACATCACCCAGAAAGCTAATGCTTTTTAAGGCCTACTGTTTTACTCTCTACAAAAGAACCATGAGAATCAAAGCCGTTACAAAAAGGGGCCAATCTATTTCTCCTGGCGTTGGTTACCGGCAGGCTGAGACGCTGGTCATTCATCTTTGCAATTGGATTTTTTTGAGTCACATTAGAAAACAATTTTCCAGCAGCGTTAACCCCTTTGTGAAGAGAGGCCACCCAATGTTATTAGCAAGTCAAGGCTCATTAGCCTCCCCTCCACAATCCCTGCTTTACTAAATGGCTCCTGTAATACTGTAATACGGTAGGAGAGGAGAGCTGGGGCGGGAGGAAGGCACCCTGAAGCTTAACGATAACGAGACAGCACTCTCACGCAGCCAGGCAGCCTCGCAGCCAGGCTAATGTCTATGAGATATCGTTGCTATTCCATAATGCAGCCGGGATCTAAAACAAAGTGACAATACAGTTAGACCTATTATCCACCCACAATGCATTACCAGACGCCGTTAAAAAACGTGCCCATCGGTTTGGAGAGAGCAGAGGGACGGACCCCTTTTAACTATAAAGCATAACACTAAGACCTGCGCTGACGGAGGTTCTATTTGAAGCAAACAAATGCTTTTTATTACAAAATGTCAACGAGATGGACAATAGATAAATGATATGCAATTAAAAGTCCCTGAGCCGACCTAAAAAACTCCCGCGAACTCTTCCCTCTGCCAGCTAGCCAATGTAGCCTGGTGCTGATGGCGTACAAAGTTTATTAGCTCATGCTCCCCTACCCAGAGCATGTACCATCCCCCCTGTAACCCCCATACCTCCATCCTGTATTATCCAGTGATCCCCTACCCAGAGCATGTACCCTCCCCCCTGTAACCCCCATACCTCCATCCTGTATTATCCAGTGATTCCCTACCCAGAGCATGTACCCTCCCCCCTGTAACCCCCATACCTCCATCCTGTATTATCCAGTGATCCCCTACCCAGAGCATGTACCCTCCCCCCTGTAACCCCCATACCTCCATCCTGTATTATCCAGTGATCCCCTACCCAGAGCATGTACCCTCCCCCCTGTAACCCCCATACCTCCATCCTGTATTATCCAGTGATCCCCTACCCAGAGCATGTACCCTCCCCCCTGTAACCCCCATCCTGTATTATCCAGTGATCCCCTACCCAGAGCATGTACCCTCCCCCCTGTAACCCCCATACCTCCATCCTGTATTATCCAGTGATCCCCTACCCAGAGCATGTACCCCTCCCCCCTGTAACCCCCATACCTCCATCCTGTATTATCCAGTGATCCCCTACCCAGAGCATGTACCCTCCCCCCTGTAACCCCCATCCTGTATTATCCAGTGATCCCCTACCCAGAGCATGTACCCTCCCCCCTGTAACCCCCATACCTCCATCCTGTATTATCCAGTGATCCCCTACCCAGAGCATGTACCCCTCCCCCCTGTAACCCCCATACCTCCATCCTGTATTATCCAGTGATCCCCTACCCAGAGCATGTACCCTCCCCCTGTAACCCCCATACCTCCATCCTGTATTATCCAGTGATCCCCTACCCAGAGCATGTACCCTCCCCCCTGTAACCCCCATACCTCCATCCTGTATTATCCAGTGATCCCCTACCCAGAGCATGTACCCTCCCCCCTGTAACCCCCATACCTCCATCCTGTATTATCCAGTGATCCCCTACCCAGAGCATGTACCCTCCCCCCTGTAACCCCCATACCTCCATCCTGTATTATCCCCTATCCAAGAGTCCCAAATGGCACCCTATACCCTACATAGTGCACTACTTTTGACCAGAGCCCTATGGACTATAAAGGGAATAGGGTGCCATTTGGGGGACAGCCCATTTCTCCTACCAAGGCCTTCAGAGAGGCCTCATAAAACAAACTAACAAAATGTGCTGCTCTTATTAAGTCACTGCCCCGTTCAGAATAAACTCATTTAAATAACACCATTGAGTTGTTCTGTGAACCCTGAGACAGTATAGAGGATGAGAGGACAGTATAGAGGCTGGGAGGAGAGACTGGGAAGAGACAGAGTATAGAGCCTGGGAGGAGAGTCTGGGAGGAAGCAGTCTAGAGGCTGGGAGGAGACAGTTTAGAGCCTGGGAGGAGACGGTCTAGAGCCTGGGAGGAGAAGTTTAGAGTCTGGGAGGAGACGGTCTAGAGGCTGGGAGGAGAGTCTGGGAGGAAGCAGTCTAGAGGCTGGGAGGAGAAGTTTAGAGTCTGGGAGGAGACGGTCTAGAGGCTGGGAGTAGAGTCTGGGAGGTTGCAGTCTAGAGGCTGGGAGGAGACAGTTTAGAGCCTGGGAGGAGACGGTCTAGAGGCTGGGAGGAGAAGTTTAGAGTCTGGGAGGAGACGGTCTAGAGGCTGGGAGGAGAGTCTGGGAGGAAGCAGTCTAGAGGCTGGGAGGAGAGTCTGGGAGGAAGCAGTCTAGAGGCTGGGAGGAAGCAGTCTAGAGACTGGGAGGAGACGGTATAGAGGCTGGGAGGAGACAGTCTAGAGACTGGGAGGATGCAGTCTAGAGGCTGGGAGGAGACAGTATAGAGGCTGGGAGGAGACGGTATAGAGACTGGGAGGAGACAGTCTAGAGGCTGGGAGGAAGCAGTCTAGAGGCTGGGAGGAGACAGTATAGAGGCTGGGAGGAGACGGTATAGAGGCTGGGAGGAGACAGTCTAGAGACTGGGAGGATGCAGTCTAGAGGCTGGGAGGAGACAGTATAGAGGCTGGGAGGAGAGTCTAGAGGTTGGGAGGAGTAAGTCCAGGAGGAGACAGTCTAGAGGCTGGGAGGACAGGCTGGGAGGAGACGGTATAGAGGCTGGGAGGAGACAGTATAGAGGCTGGGAGGAGACAGTATAGAGGCTGGGAGGAGACAGTATAGAGGCTGGGAGGAGAGTCTAGAGGTTGGGAGGACAGGCTGGGAGGAGACGGTATAGAGGCTGGGAGGAGAGTCTAGAGGTTGGGAGGAGTAAGTCCAGGAGGAGACAGTCTAGAGGCTGGGAGGACAGGCTGGGAGGAGACGGTATAGAGGCTGGGAGGAGACAGTATAGAGGCTGGGAGGAGACAGTATAGAGGCTGGGAGGAGACGGTATAGAGACTGGGAAGAGAGGCTGGGAGGATGCAGTCTAGAGGCTGGGAGGAGACAGTTTAGAGACTGGGAGGAGACGGTATAGAGGCTGAGAGGAGCAAGTCTAAAGGCTGGGAGGAGACAGTTTAGAGGCTGGGAGGAGACAGTTTAGAGGCTGGGAGGAGACGGTATAGAGGCTGGGAGGAGACGTTATAGAGGCTGGGAGGAGAACGTATAGAGGCTGGGAGGAGAACGTATAGAGGCTGGGAGGAGAACGTATAGAGGCTGGGAGGAGAACGTATAGAGGCTGGGAGGAGAACGTATAGAGGCTGGGAGGAGAACGTATAGAGGCTGGGAGGAGTCCTTATAGAGGCTGGGAGGAATCTTATAGAGAGTGATAGGAGACCATATAGAGTCTGGGAGGTGGAGGGGTGAAGGCATGGACTACATTAGAGAGCATTGCTAGTGCGTGAAGCAGGCATGGACTGTATTGTGTGAGATAGGGGCAGCAGTGGGTGAGATAGGGGCAGCAGTGGGTGAGATAGGGGCAGCAGTGGGTGAGATAGGGGCAGCAGTGGGTGAGATAGGGGCAGCAGTGGGTGAGATAGGGGCAGCAGTGGGTGAGATAGGGGCAGCAGTGGGTGAGATAGGGGCAGCAGTGGGTGAGATAAGGGCAGCAGTGGGTGAGATAGGGCAGCAGTGGGTGAGATAGGGGCAGCAGTGGGTGAGATAGGGGCAGCAGTGGGTGAGATAGGGGCAGCAGTGTGTGAGTGTGAGTCAGGTGTAGTTACCGTGTGAGACAGGTGTAGTTACCGTGTGAGACAGGTGTAGTTACCGTGTGAGACAGGTGTAGTTACCGTGTGAGACAGGTGTAGTTACCGTGTGAGACAGGTGTAGTTACCGTGTGAGACAGGTGTAGTTACCGTGTGAGACAGGTGTAGTTACCGTGTGAGACAGGTGTAGTTACCGTGTGAGACAGGTGTAGTTACCGTGTGAGACAGGTGTAGTTACCGTGTGAGACAGGTGTAGTTACCGTGTGAGGCAGGTGTAGTTACCGTGTGAGGCAGGTGAAGTTACCGTGTGAGGCAGGTGTAGTTACCGTGTGAGTCAGGTGTAGTTACCGTGTGAGTCAGGTGTAGTTACCGTGTGAGATAGGTGTAGTTACCGTATGAGACAGGTGTAGTTACCGTGTGAGACAGGTGTAGTTACCGTGTGAGGCAGGTGTAGTTACCGTGTGAGGCAGGTGTAGTTACCGTGTGAGTCAGGTGTAGTTACCGTGTGAGACAGGTGTAGTTACCGTGTGAGATAGGCGTAGTTACCGTGTGAGTCAGGTGTAGTTACCGTGTGAGACAGGTGTAGTTACCGTGTGAGGCAGGTGTAGTTACCGTGTGAGTCAGGTGTAGTTACCGTGTGAGTCAGGTGTAGTTACCGTGTGAGTCAGGTGTAGTTACCGTGTGAGACAGGTGTAGTTACCGTGTGAGACAGGTGTAGTTACCGTGTGAGTCAGGTGTAGTTACCGTGTGAGTCAGGTGTAGTTACCGTGTGAGGCAGGTGTAGACTAGGGTGTGCAGGTTGTACCGTAATAAGTCCGAAGGTGGCATCATCTAGCAGGTTCTCAAAGGACTGGGACATAGCTCTGCTGTGGGGGCTGACCTGGAGGAGGGAGGTATCAGCGGTAGACCTGGGGGGGGGGAGACGAGAGAGGCATAACAGGAAATAGCAGAGGAGGAAAGTTCATTAAAGCCTCAGAGTGTCTGTATCAGGGACTCATCATGAGACTAGTCTGGAAGAGAAGCTCCAAGAGTCAATGGTTTCAGGCAGGGGCGCAACTTTGCTTTTAGAAGTGGGGGGGGGGGGACTTAATTATTATTATTTAAAATGTTATCCAGTCAGATAATCACTCCAAACAGCCTACCCAACCGCTCGGAGGCGTCCGTATGGTCCTAAAGCACACCGTCGCCTCGTTTTGTATCACATTCCAATGATAAAACTGGGGGACAAAAATGCAATTTCCGACATGTCCCCCCCCCGTCCCCAGCGATAGTTACGACCCTGGTTTCAGGGAACAAGTTTGTCTGGAGTCAGTGGTCTCAGGGAACAAGCTTGCGAGTGGGGAAACAAACCGATGAGATCCGTTGTAAAACTATATATTTTTCTAAATACCTTGACAATTTCAACTACCAGTTCAAATTTTGATGGGATTGGATCATCAAGTAGAATGTTGGTTATAAGTGTTCCCCATATCTGCCGTGCCACTATAGAAGCACAACATTGTGACAACCACTTAACAGCACTTCACTGAGCTGTGCTCAGATCCACCCTGTACACCACTCCAGGTCACAGAGCTTAACTGTGTGTCGTTAGTGGCTGGCTGACGTGTGGAGCAGGCTACCTCTAGTGTATAACACCCCCACAGCCAGTGCCTGTGTCCCAAATGGGATCCTATTCCCATTATAGTGTACTACTTTTGACCCATAGGGTCCACAGGGATCTGGTCAAAAGTAGTGCACTTAGGGCGGCAGGTAGCTTAGTGGGTAAGAGCGTTGTGCCACTAACCGAAAGGTCGCTGGTTCTAACCCCCGAGCCGACTAGGTGAAGAATCTGCCGATGTGCCCTTGAGCAAGGCACTTAACCCTAATTGCTCCTGTAAGTGGCTCTGGATAAGAGCGTCTGCTAAATGACTAAAATGTAAAAATGTAAATAGGAAATAGAAGGCACTTTTTTTTTTTTTACTAATAAAAATAAACGCCATCTGGCTAAAAAAAACGTAGGATTTCATAGGGCCCTTCAAATGGTAGCCTATTCCATTTACAGTGCACTACTTCAAAAGAAGTGCACTATGTAGGGAATAGGGTGCCATTTGGGACAGCGGCGTGATACAAAGTTAATTAGCCTGTTTGAATAGTCATGCAGCCCCAGAAAACCAACAAAGCAGTTGTTACCGGCCTGCAACTCATTAAAAACCTCTGCCAGCTGTAATAGCTATGAATATTAAAAACCACAGAGTATATTTCAAATAAACTCAACTGTGCTCAGTTTGGCTCATTTTTAAGCAGAGGAGAGCGTGTGGCTCCGTCCCAAATAACACCCCATTCCCTATAAAGTACTTTTGAAAGTGGTGCACTTCATAGGGAACAGAATGCCATTTGGGACGGAGCCTGTGACTGTATAAGGGTGGCCTATTCCCACTCCGGGCAGAAGAGCCAATGAGGGAAGAGACAGGCTGGTCGACGATTACAAAGTGAAGAACAACAGAGGTTCATTCTGTAACTCCTCCAGACTCTTGGTGCCAATTCAGTGACATTGAAACAGTCCTAATTGATATTTGGGAAAAGGTTAATTACAAATGAAAGCTGATTGTAATGGGCTTTTATCTGTGGATGAGTATGCCTATTCATGGTTTAGAGGAACGGAATGATTTGGGATGACCCCATTATGTCCTAGTCAAATGCCTGATCACGTCCAACCAGCCTGAACCATGTTCAACCCATCCAGCACTGAAAGACCTATATTTCACTCTGAAAGTCTAAGATAGGGCCACTTAAATATGACTATTATCCCCTAAGAGATAAAAAAAAAAAAAAAAGTCTGGGAAATGAATTCAGTATATCTCGATCAAGAAAAAGCCTATGGAACTTAGTCTCTGTCTAGACTGGGCCATCTTTCTCTCCATCGCTCTTCCTCCCTCTTTCTCAATTACCCCCCCCCAGCCCCCTCCCCAGCCCTCCCCAGCCCTCCCCCCCCCTTTTTTTGTGAGAGTTAATTTACGAAAATCGCTATTTAACAAGCTGACTAGCTAACTATACATTTAGATTGCTATATGGAGGTTTGACATTTGTATGAATTGAAATTCGTGTTGTTTAAAGGCCCAGTGCAGTCAAAATTCAGTGTTTTATATCATAATGTACAACAGATGTATTTTATATCATAGTCTACAACAGATGTATTTTATATCATATTGTACAACAGATGTATTTTATATCATAATGTACAACAGCTGATGAAACTAACACTGTAAAAGAGTGAAAAAATTTGAATCAGGGTTATTTCCTGATAGTTGCTGGTTGAAAATACAATATACACAGGACCTTCTAAAATCAGCAGGTTTGCATGGGCGGGAGTTTCGGCTTTCAATTATGCAGTAAATTGGTTAATAGACCAATAACAAAAAGAGTTCCAAACCTCTCTGCCAATCACAGCTAGTTTTCTGTTTTTCCTCCTCACCCAGATCACTCCCAGACAGTCTTAGCAAAATGATTGCCTGAGAAATATGTTCTTTCTGCCCATTTTAAAATGGACATCTATTACAGTAAGGCACTTCAATAAACCAGCAAAACAGGCTGTCATCTTGTGACCCAGTCGATGTAAAGAATCTAGCTAAAGCATTTAGTACAAATTGAATGAACAATGTTGTAAGCTTGCCTTGCTGTTCATTAAAACATGTTTCAAAAGTCAAACACTAGTCATTGTTCTTTGTCGTAGTAACGTTGGAGATAGAAGATGTTTGTCTGCAGCTGAAGTAACGTAGCTAACTATTTTCTAGCTTATTGTGTAGTGGATGATGAAAATAGGTGTATGTCTATGGAGCTATGGAGCCCATCTGTGTTGCCCATATTAGTTCAGATTACTGCTTTTAAATTGCTTCCACTGGTTAAATCATTAAAATCACCAAGAAATTGCAGAAAATTACTGAGTGAAGGAAATGCGACTGTCAAATTGCTATTATGAAATGAAAGTCCTGCTTCAGTACTACTCCACATTACCACAGCCAGAGGATGGCTACATTACTACTCCACATTACCACAGCCAGGGGATGGCTACATTACTACTCCACATTACCACAGCTAGAGGATGGCTACATTATTACTCCACATTACCACAGCCAGAGGATGGCTACATTACTACTCCACATTACCACAGCCAGAGGATGGCTACATTACTACTCCACATTACCACAGCCAGAGGATGGCTACATTACTACTCCACATTACCACAGCCAGAGGATGGCTACATTACTACTCCACATTACCACAGCCAGAGGATGGCTACATTACTACTCCACATTACCACAGCCAGAGGATGGCTACATTACTACTCCACATTACCACAGCCAGGGGATGGCTACATTACTACTCCACATTACCACAGCCAGAGGATGGCTACATTACTACTCCACATTACCACAGCCAGAGGATGGCTACATTACTACTCCACATTACCACAGCCAGAGGATGGCTACATTACTACTCCACATTACCACAGCCAGAGGATGGCTACATTACTACTCCACATTACCACAGCCAGAGGATGGCTACATTACTACTCCACATTACCACAGCCAGAGGATGGCTACATTACTACTCCACATTACCACAGCCAGAGGATGGCTACATTACTACTCCACATTACCACAGCCAGAGGATGGCTACATTACTACTCCACATTACCACAGCCAGAGGATGGCTACATTACTACTCCACATTGAACTACAGCCAGAGGATGGCTACATTACTACTCCACATTACCACAGCCAGAGGATGGCTACATTACTACTCCACATTACCACAGCCAGAGGATGGCTACATTACTACTCCACATTACCACAGCCAGAGGATGGCTACATTACTACTCCACATTACCACAGCCAGAGGATGGCTACATTACTACTCCACATTGACTACAGCCAGAGGATGGCTACATTACTACTCCACATACCACAGCCAGAGATGGCTACATTACTACTCCACATTACCACAGCCAGAGGATGGCTACATTACTACTCCACATTACCACAGCCAGAGGATGGCTACATTACTACTCCACATTACCACAGCTAGAGGATGGCTACATTACTACTCCACATTACCACAGCCAGAGGATGGCTACATTACTAATCCACATTACCACAGCCATAGGATGGCTACATTACTATCCACATTTACCACAGCCAGAGGATGGCTACATTACTACTTCCACATTAACACAGCCAGAGGATGGCTACATTACTACTCCAAATTACCACAGCTAGAGGATGGCTACATTACTACTCCACATTACCACAGCCAGAGGATGGCTACATTACTACTCCACATTACCACAGCCAGAGGATGGCTACATTACTACTCCACATTACCACAGCCAGAGGATGGCTACATTACTACTCCACATTACCACAGCCAGAGGATGGCTACATTACGGGCACATTGTTGTTTTGCGGTTCTCATTTGTTGCTCATATGGTAAGTACGTGTTGTTGCATGAGAAATACTGTATAAGGAAAGCTATTCCTGCCGCCAGTACTGGCATTGTGAAAAACACAAGGCTCGTCTTCAATGAATTGCATGGTAAGCTATCCTTTAGCGGCTTCTGCTGTGCGTGAGTGATGTCCCATTCCATAGGGTTATTTATCTCTCCCTACGACTAGACGCTCCGTGTGAGGGACACTCCCCCACCGAGGGACACTCGAAAACGAGGGGAGAGCTAAGAGGGGTTATTAGAATTGAGCCTCTCTATCCCTCCCCCTCTACTCCTCCCTCCCTCCCTCCCCATCTCTCTCTCTCCCTCCCCCCCATCTCTCTCTCTCTCCTTCCCCATCTCTCTCTCCTTCCCTCCCCATCTCTCTCTCCTTCCCTCCCCATCTCTCTCTCCTTCCCTCCCTCCCTCCCTCCCCATCTCTCTCTCT